TAGATTTAATCTAGTGTTTCATGAAATGGAATATTCATTCTATTCTAGGATATTGATATTATTCCAGTAAGAGAGAGTTTCATTGATTGTACAACCGATATAAATGTGAGTATCTCCAGCCAATGCTATTGTAGTTGCCCAACATATCAGCCAAAGAACGTCCGATTACAAAAAAGATTACCAAGAAAATATCAGACAGTACGAAATCTGATGAAACAACCGTTGGTTGGAGAGATTGATGACCTATAAATAAATTTCTATAATTATATGCTACGATTTGGTATTTCTCATACTTTAGAATGAGCTACTTTCCACTCGACGATGGTTTGAGAAATTTCGACTGAATTTGATCGGGCGCGAATTTGATCGGGATCTATGTGTGGGTCCAATGAAGCTCGATGTGTGCCTACGGGATTAAGCCGCACCTATTTCGCGCGAGTATTACACGTGAGCGGTTATACCGATAACGCGGTTCACGCCACTCGGTAATCACTGCGCCAACGCCGCCGGCATCGCGAGCCGCCGGATCGACTCGCCTTTTCAATTCGCAATGCGGCCATTCCATTGCGCGCGCGGAAGCCCTACCAATCGACCCTACGCCGACCTAATACACGACGAGGCTTCTCGCGCGCCGCTGCGGCGCAAGTTTCGATCCGAAGAGCGGCGCGCTTTATAGCTTTCGTTAAAAGGCAACCGAGATGGAATAAGGGCGAGCGAACCTTGGGGCTCGACGGACCACCGACGAGAAGACGGTCAACGTATGCGTATACACGGCCGCGGAATTTCCCGTTGGCTGGCTTGGATGGCTCATGTACACGATGTTTACACGAACGGCTGCCCACCCGACGCTGCTTTCGCCAGCTATGAATTCGCATTACGGTGACGCCCGACGCATTAAACTATAACGACTGCCAGGACATTCGGTAGACCGGATATCTACCTAAGCGACAGATTATGAGCGCGATGCATCGCTAACAATTCCTCTACGGGCATCGCGCGTCATATAGCACGGTAATGGTCGCTTTTCAAGAGCCGAAGAGCCATCTAAGACATCTCGAGGGTCGTCGGAACGACGATCGCCATTTTTACTACTAAATTAATATTATTACGTCGTAGTAGACACTTTTTCTCCAATTTCTTGCATCCAAACGTGAAACCATTTTTATCTATAAAGCTGAATCAAAACGACGGTAGAACGGAAATCCTTAGCGATCTCAATAAACCGTTTGCAAACGTGGACATCGAGCTTTCTCTCATAATTATTCATTACTGAATCTAAACGAGTGGAATCGAAACGAAAGTAAAATTGAAAGTAAAATCGTCACTGACTCTCTGTTGCTCTCTCTCTGATGTTGATAAAAATGGAAGTGATTCTACTTATCTAAGAAACCTTAATAATTTGGGGAAAATGAAGCGAAGCATATTAGCGCGAAAAGGTGGAAAAAGTATTGCAGCATCTTTTGAGAATATCTAGAAATAACTCGGAAGGAGAAAAAGTTAATAGCGCATACAAGTCACTCGTGGTATTAAAAAATGCCTGAAATACGGGCACGCGCGGAAGTACTTCCGTTCTCCTGGCCCGACTGCCGAGACAATAGCCTTCCTCACTCCTTTCTACCCTCTTTATGTAGCGCCAACAAAAGACTCTCGATATGCGACCTCGTGTGCTCTCACAATACCTCCCGTGTCATCTGTAGTCTCCATACGCTCCGCCGTAGGTACGCGCCAGAGGAGCCTGAAAAAAAAGGGAGAGGAAAAAGGAATAAGGAGACGTGACTGCCAGGCAGGATAATTAATAACCGCTCTTCCTTCCCCCAGCAAAGATACATTCTTGTTTGATTATTTGGCGTGTACGATTCTCGGGGATGAAATTGGACTTGATGAATTCCCGGGAGAAGGCGGGGAAGGAGGAAAGTCGATAAATCGTGTGTAGAGAAGGCGCGAGCGCGCGCATCCGTGCTAGCCTGAATCACTCGAAACGATCTAAACGAGATTCGCGTAGCTCCACTTTCCAATTTTGCCCAACTTGAAGGAGCCTTTTCACAGATCTTGCGAGATAGAAACGAGCGAGTGGAAGGGTTCCACCTGGTGGGAGCGGAAAGGTGTGTACTCGGGGGATGGTATCGCGCCAAGCGAAAAGGGTGGCCGCGAGGAGAGGCACGATCGTCGAGGCGTACGTGGCGAGGAAGCGCAATTTTTAAATCGAAAACCGTGTGCAACATCGATCCTGCGTCTCTCGCCGTCCAAGACGGGCCCGTGAGCGCGCGGCAGTTGACGAATTTACCCCGTGAGAGGACCCGGCCGAAGCCACGGTCGGTCGAGCTCCGGTCGTGCGGGGGCAGCGGAGTGGCTCGGTCGGTCCCGGTAATACGATAGAGTTAGGTAACTAGCTACGTTATACCTTGGCAAACCCATTATATCGCTCTGGGAATCCTTTGGGAAATAGTCTATAGCGCTGCCGGTCCGGGCTTCGATCAACCGTGAAATGTAGTCCGATACGTATTACCGGGTGCAGTACCCAATACGTTCTACCGGCGTCTGGTGTATAGTGCACTACGCGTTACCTTCCGCCGCGCCGCGCCAGCGGAGAGAATTACCGAGCCTACTACGCTCAGGATTCCGCCTTCGCGTCGAATTGCGGCAATTTCTCTCCCCCTCGCACGAGCTTGTGTAGTTTGTCGTTCCTAAACATGCGACACGTATTAACCCTCGGCTGCTAGTGGTTACGTTTGCGTAACGTAGCTAACGGCATCAACGCGATGTCATAATCGAAGGTAGTTGAGTGCACAACTAATTCCGCTCTTTTCCACATTTCCGATTCAGCCTTTTTGCCTTGCAAAATTGGCACTTGGGCTCGATAAAAATTGTGGAAAGCGTCAATGCGTCGGATTACAAGATGACGTGCAAGTTTACGCGTTAATTTCCGTAAGGAAACTGCAATCCAAAAAGCAGTTTACGAAATTGTTGCTACACGATGCAATTACATTCTACTTGCGACAGCAGATTGAAATGCAATGTCATTTCACTGCTGGCGACTTGCCTCGGTAACGTATAAAATAAATCGTAGCGAATGAAAAAAGGAGCGCTATATTCAAAAAATGGTTCCATTAATTCTTACAATCGATTATATGCAAACAAACGAATATTGACGGCGGGAGAACGGACGGCCACATCGCCGTGTCCCGGCCAGCTTCGGCGATGGAGCTTTTATAAAAACGGCGCGAATGAGCGCTCGACAATATTTGATTAGATTTTACAAACAAACGCACTCGGACGAACGCCCGACGTACACGTGTAATGAATTTACATCGCGCCCCGGCGCGATTGCCTCTTTTATTCATTGAAGAGAGCGCTTGTCCTCCACTGCCCTTCTGCCCTCGCCCGCGAAACGATCATGAATTCAATGGTTTCCGATAACAGCGGGCTGGAGTCGAGGGGGTGGGGAATATAAAACAAAAAGAAACGCTCGCGTATCGACAGTAATTTACATAGGGGGAAGAGCGTTCGAAGGTAACGCGCGCGACGCTCCGTCGTTACCGGAAAATAAATGTTGGCTCGACCTCGTCGTCGCGCATGTGTGTCCTTTCAAATCAACAGGCTCGGCCAAGTTCCTCAAGTCGTCGACAACGTCGCGCATTGTGATAATATGGTAGAACCAAGTATTACTCGCACAGAAAAGTTGTGAAAACGTGCGCGTCATTATTTCAAGTCGTCGACGCGTTCAATCACGTTTCAACAAAGTAAATATTTTTGCTTTTATTTACCGAAGCGAACGCTGCCGATAAATGTCGACATCGGGGCATTTGCTTACGCTCCAAGTTAGAATTGCAAACTTGGCGTCTTGGAAAGTCTAACAAGAGCGAATATTTCTCTTAACAATAACGTTAATTTACATGGACATTAGGAGCAAGTAGAAAATTTTGTCAATTTTGCAGCTTGTGAAATAAAGTTTATCTTACTGATGGAGGAAAAGGTGACGCAATACATTCTATTGCTTTTCCCTTGCGATACGGTAACGGGTAATGCACCTGAACACGGCTCTCGGCACGATCCTTCCATTTTCCGACTAAACACATGAATCCTAACACGGTAAAGCCAGGACGGTGCACAAATTCACGAAACGACACTAATAGTGGTCAAGCTGACTCCGACGGCACAATACCGGTATCGGTGCGCTATTATCCGCAAGTTTATTGAATGTTAAAGTTCTATAGAGAATTCTCCATTTCATGTCCGCGCCCGGCTATATTTCGCCGTCAGTAAGTACGTCGTTGCTACGTAGCCAGTAATTGGCACGTCAGGACAATGCTGCGTATCAGCGAAATTCCGCCGCAGCGTTCATTTAATCAGAAACTACAACAGTACCCATCGAATTCCTTGCTGCTTAACGAATCAAACGTCGGCGATACCTTCAAGTCGTGCTCATAGCAAAATTGACTTAATAATAATGCTCCTGCCGGGGAATATTCCAATTCCTTTGAGCGAGTAACATTAAAGTAGATAGAGAGTGAAAAAAGATTTAGCCTCCAGTAAGCACGCGCTGTCGAGGTCGTGCACCTTTCGGCGTAACCGTATAAGGGCCCTACAACGCGTTAGACTTAGATCAGAGATAGGTGCGAGCGAAATGATTCACGGGCGACAGGAATAGAACTGTGACCGTTTCCCCTCACGTTCTTCTTCAGGGTCGGTGAAGAGCCTTGAAGAGCCCGTAGGGTCGGCAGTCGCTGTAGTACGAGGATGAGAAAGCTCGTGCCTTCGCAAGCGCATCAATTTTTTCCACTTGGATATTTGCTCCATTTAATTCGGACAGTCGATCGTAGAGATTGCTTGCAATTGCATAGAAATTAATGCGGTAAGACGAAAATGTAAAGTCACGTATGTCGTAAACAAAGGAAATATCCCTTCATCTCGATTACTTTTTAAGATTCGCCACAAAGCGGTATTTAAATGATATAAAAGACTTACTGGACAACTGCTTTCTTTTCCTGCTCGCACTCAAGATATGGATAAGTTCTCTTCGTTCGCCGAGGACGTGACGCTCGCCCGCTTCTAGCGCATCTAGCGGCACTGTCAAGGTAAAAAATAATATATTTCTATAATTCATTATAGATGATTCAATTGACAAAAATATTGTACGGTAACATCTATTAGAGTTAAACCAGAGTATTGGAGAGATTCTTCGGTAAATTGAAAAATACAATGATTCTTCAATAGAATTCAATAATTTCTATTATTTTACACATTTATGGAGAAATTTCGTTGTTGGCAAATTTTTCTTTGGAAAAGTAAATTATCTTTGTCACGATTGTGAAATGGACTATCAAGTTTATCATTTATCAGAGAATCCTCGCGAGGCAGCGCCGAGCTTAACATTTTACAAACGTTGACACGATTGATATAAAATTGATTTGCGATCTGCGATCTGCCTCGAGTGCGCGAATTATCTCGGAAACGAAATGCGAGACTGTCAATGGACTAACGCGCGCGCCAACAATGAACAAACCCCTGACGGCGCAGCGAAGCGCCCGCGGCATCCGTGGATTCGCCACTGATTTCGAAATATTTAGCGATTACCCCGAGGCGTGAATCCGGCATCCGCGAACGATGCTGACCCGTCCGAGCGCATTTATCGAGATAATTCAGCGCGTGCAACCACGCCGATACCGACACGAGAGGAAAATTAACCATCGATCTTCGTCGGCGGTCTTTCTGCTTGCAGCTTGCACATCGGGACATTCATCGTGTTTTGTTTTGTTGTAGCCTCACCCATACGCCCGCCCCTCGCTCCCTATTCCCGTACAAATTCCTGCATCCGCGACTTCGCCCTCCGCGCTCTTCTCGGGCTCTCCTCCCGAAGCGCGCTTCCACCCTTCACCATATTACTATCATCCATCGAATCGCGTAATCGTCTCGAGCACTCGACGCTGCTCGCCCGTCGTCACTTTTTCCCCATTTTCCTCCCTCGAACCGTCTTCCTTCTATCCGTCATTCTTCTCCTCTATCGTTTTCCTACGTTTCGTCCACTGTCTACTACCGTCATCTTCTCGACATCAATTTGCTTGGAGACGACGATAGCAGCCACCAGCGGAAAATATCATCGTTTTTCAAAGGTGAGATGCAACTTTTACTATTAGAATTAGTAGCCTCACAGTTTGTCTAACAATTATTTAACGGCAGTATTCAAATTTGCCTATTTATTGCCCGCCTAGAGTGTAGGAATATAATTTCGTAAAGCGAAATAAAAATTAGTTTGATACTTGATTAATTGAAATAAAAAGTGTAGCTTTCCTTCTGTTATCTACCGTTGAAAGAACAGCGGTTCCGCGACACCCTGTACGACGGCAAAAAGTTGCCGCAACAGCCACGTCACCCTCCTGATGAACGGAGGAAGACGAAGCTGCTTTCGCGGCGCGTCGATATAAAGGGGTTCAACGGGTTCCCCCGTGATTTATCGTCCTGGCGAAAGGTAGCTGAGTCCTTGCGACACGAGTCACGTGTCGTGTTCCAAGTTGCGCGACTCGGCGAAAATGATGTTCGAGGCTGCGTCGAGAGTAAATTTCGCGTATCTACCTAGCTTATGGGAAAATTTTCGCCTGTAATTATACGTCCCCTTCGGGTCCGCCATAATTTCGCCCGAGAACGCTTTACCCACGAGATAGCGCCAGATTGGGAAGAAAACTTGTGAACTTTTCAGCTTGGCTCTTATTACAATTCGCGTTATATCTTACGTTTCTTCGAACACGCTCTTACGGCTACCAAAGCCTTGAGAGAGTCACAATCGAATATCGATAACTGTTGAAAGAAAGTACGTATGTACTCGGGGAAATATAACTATATACTCATGCAATAATGTCCAGTGCTCCCCGGTGTCCTTAGACGGTGCTACGTCGGGCGGAAACGATACGGCTGACCGTTTTTCGTAAAGAAAAACCGCGTAAAACGTAAAAAGAAAGCCAAAGGGTAAAAGCTGAAAACTACGCGCGGTAAGAAAAGAGACCTGTGGGTATACGAGCGAGCCGGATGTCTCTGCGGAGCTCTTTGGTAAGCTCGTAGCAGTCCTCGCGCGATGCCGAAAGCTCTTTGCGGAAGAGCTCCGCGACTACGTATCCTTGAAACGCACGTCGCATAAACGCTTCGCGTAAGAGGTACTCCGCGTAGCCGGCCACGGATATACACGACGGGATACCCGTCTATTAAGAGGAAAAATACAAATCTCGAGGTGGAGCGAGCGTCAAGCCTCTCTTTCTCTCCGCGCTATCGACATCTCCTTCTTTCTTCCCTTTTCCGTCAGCGCAACATTCATACATGTATTATAGCACGAGTCTTGAATTCATTACATCCGGCTAATATAATGTCTGCTATGGTGTAAAAGGGGATGAGAAATTAGTTAAACTGCGATTAGAATTCACTAATATTGGCGAAGGCAACTTGCAGATAACACGACAGCCTTGTATCGCACGTCGAAACGTTAGCTTTGTTAGTTTCAACTATGCCATGCCTCCAAGTGATCGCTCGTATCACGTGTCTCTTCGCAGCTAAAGAGAAGGAACGTTAGATGAGCATTCAGACATATACATGGATATACAAATATATGTATATATAATCTTAATGCGTCTGTAATGGACTTGCAAACTATTCAACACGCGCGAAACTCGCGTTAACTTAAGCACGGTTACAAAGTCGATAGTTGTTAACTTCCGGGATAAGACGAGGGAGAGAGAGCCTTGAGACACAGTACAAGTGCTGGTTACCATGTCCGTTAGACCAGTCAGAAACTTTGCCGAAAGCGAAGGTCGTTAATAATTTAATCAATGAACGGATAAAATAGGAAGCTCGCAGTTTAAACGAACAATAAAACGCTTTGAAGGCAAACATGAGGCGAAGCTGATGATAGCACGATAATATATTTCAAGGGTAATAGCAAATTATGCTATTCACGATACCCAATGGAGCGTCAGAGCTGTTTAAATATTCAAACTTTCTTCCTGTGTATCTTGATCGCGATCATTTCTTTTCTTATGTCATTTTGCATTTCATTATTTTTCTTTGAATATCCAATATCATGTAAGTACTAATTCGCTTATTTCTAACGACAAATTTTTTAATTTACACAAATTATGAATATATCTTACAACTTCACTTTGAGGTAATAACACGTTCTTTTCTTATTCTATTTCCCGTCATCAAAGAATAATTATACTATCATCTGTGATTACGTGCCTTCAAAATTCTATATTGTTCCCGTCAACAAATTCGATGGTACGAACAGATTACACAAATCTTTGAAATGTCCCGAACGCGATAATTAATATATTAATTTTAAATTAACTCAAAGTCAACCGGCGTTGTCCCGTAGAATCGATAATCCGCGTCGGAGCGTCGGGCGACCGCACAACTTTCCCAAAAGTAACAAACGATGGCTCGGATATGTCAGGCTCGGTGATTAACGATAGCTCGCGGTTCGTGTTCTCCCGCTCATTGCTAACGATCACCGTCGATGTCAACGTGATTCATTTCATCAATTACCGCCGAACGGGTTCTCGCTGGCGTGACGATGACGGCCGAATAATTCGTCGATGATCCTCAATTGTGAGCAGATCCAATCGGAATTTTACCTAGCTGATCGATAACATTTTATTCGACTCTTATTGGTCAAAGTGTTTATCAATTCCATATCAATTAATACAAGTTATTGAATTAAATTTGAATGAAATGTGTTTATCTTCCCTGAACTTAAAAATCAACTCGGATGTGATTGCCAAATAACTGATTTCCAATCTTTATCTTTGAATCGTTCATTGACTCGTTGATCAAAATTCGACAAGTTGTCAATAAAACGCGGTCTTTCCGACGCCAATCGACGCAAGAACCGAATTCGACGAGTCTAACGATCACGGATAAGCTTAATGGTCCGTTCTAATTAAAAGGCCCATTATCCCGCCGCTAGGTCCTTGACAAAACCGAATCCGCAACCCGCATCTATTACCTAATTCTAGCTGCCTGTAGTGCGAATGTGTCTTGTTAGTAACTTTGTAACAATTTGCCAAGTCGAGAAAACAGAAAACAAAGAACGATTGCAGTAAATATCATCAAGAAGTCATTACAAAGACTCGACTACCTCGATTAAATAATTGTGAAAATGGTTAATTAAGTTTACAACAACCGAATCGTTTCTCTGGAGGTTTAATTCTCTTCAAGATACTGGTTCGTTAACTACGCTAATCTCAATTAAACTCTTTCTCTTTCGAAAAGCAAGAAATTGAAACACGATGAACTTAGATGTTTATAAAATAGTGCTGTATAAAAAAAATTGGGAAAAGATTGAATGCAACCTTCTATATCGTTGAATAGTAGCGATTACAATTGTATACGTTCATAAAAGCTTTCATCTATATTGTGCAATTTTTTCCATTTTCGAAAGTCACGTCTCACAATAAGATCGTTATTAAATAATATCTATTGTTCTTGGCATAGTCGCCAACTATAATCAAGGAGAAGCGTCTGGTCTGATGCTTAGGTATATTTAATGGCTTGGCTATTCTCGCATTCGAACTTAATCATTCAGTGTTCAGCTCTCAGCAAAAGCGAACTCTACCCCCCTTCGCATCCCCCAATCTAACAGTTTCCTCAGGGGAGACTCTGATGCTCGTAGATAAACTTAATGGTCCCGGGCTAATTAGGCCGGAAAGAGCCGACGGCATTAGCGGCACCTTTCGTGCTACAGGAATAATTTGGTCCACCACTTCCTGCCGCAGGAGAGCCTCAGGAGACGAAGCGAGCCGCCGACCAACGTCATCCTCACACACATCGCATCCTGGACCGTCGTGAGTCGAAATTTCGCCAGCTAGCCTTCGCGGAAGCCGTCGCGCTGAGCGTCCTTTTTCGTCGGACAAAAAGACCCGGAGAAGCGGAAAGTTTTAACTCTGTATCCGAAGCTCTTCGCCCTGGGACGCGACAAAGGTGAGGACGAAGGTATGATATGTTACGACTCTGTTCAAAGAATGTTTGGCTGAAAGTTCGATGAAAACATTCTTCTCCGGTGACGCGATCAATGCTCGAAATAAAGGAAACATTAACTTCCGAACGAATTCTCGGAGTTTGCTACAAAACGACATTTCTTGTAGATTTTCTTATTAACATTATAATGGACAGACTTGATACGAAAGTTTTTCTCACGAATAACTCGGCTTATCGGCAAGTAGATATCGATCGCGTTTAACCGCGATCGGATACTTGAAGTACGCTTGTAAAAATAACCAGCACGCGAGAAGAATAAAACGGAATTTCCATTCGAATGCCCTCCCCATTCGTCAAAGTAAGGACGGAATAAACTATCGTCGAGCACGTCGATTCCATTATCCGCCGTTACGGCCGCTCGTTTGTCGAACGACGAGAGTGAAAATGAAGAAAACGGCACGGGAGAGATGTTCTATTATACCGAATAGGTACCGAGCCTCCGCGAGGAAGACAGAAAGAGGGTAACGCACAGAGGGCAGAGCAGAGGCACGAAAGGGGCATTGAGGGAAGCCTTTTGGTCTCTCGATGCTTTATCCATTACCCGTGGTACCGCGAGCAACAACCGTATCGAAACGATATTGCGGATATCACGGCACGAGAGAGAAAAGTTTTCGTATTCTTCCGCTTCTTTTTCCCCGGCTCTGCACACGCTAACCGAACCGCCGAGATTCTCCTCAACTCTGAACTCTCCGACCACGACTAAAGACCATCAAGAGTACTATATATCTCGCAATTTTTCATTTTCATTGCTGCATATTACGTTGATCGTCACGTACCTTTCAAAGTAACTTGCATATTATTTATACACTCACCCGCAAAAAAAATGGGCCACCACATTTTAGCCCAATTTTTTAACAGTTTTCAATAGCGATAACTCGGCGAAAAATCATCGTAGACAAATGATTAAAAAAGTATTTTGAAGCTTGAAGTTTCAACTTTGAAATGCTGTCAACAATTCTTTAAAATTCGTTTATCTTCCTTGTTCTATGCTTTAAAAAAGAACACATTGTTTTTTCCTTAAAATTACGTATTTTTGATGCTCTGTAGCTGGGTAAAAAAATTTCTCTCGACAATATCATCTCAAATTCCATAAACTACAACTTCTTGGATACAAAACGTTTTTTTAATCATTTGTCTACGATGATTTTTCGCCAAGTTATCGCTATTGAAAAATGTTAAAAAATTGGGCTAAAATGTGGTGGCCCAATTTTTTTGCGGGTGAGTGTATATTGAGACTAGGAAAATTGAGAGGCTTTTCAGGTAGGATGGACGAGAATGATGATGACGAATGTTCAAGACAATGTTCTCTTTCCTTTTAAAACATTTTATTTCACAACATGTTCGTTATGAATAATTCTTACCGCTTGCTTACAGACTATCAAGAACTCGCACGCTACCCAGAAGAAACCAACCCCATCCATGGACGGGATTAGGAAACTTGCAACGATGCACCTTGCCACCTCATCTGCAAGAAAACTTGGTTCCTTCGTTCTTTCGACGAGAAAAAATCATGAGACACGATAATGGACACGCAAAATGAATGTAGAAGAGAGTATTACGAACAACTCGCTGCTTACTTCTACTTATAATCCATTGCGCTCTGGTTGTTTCCGTTACGTTTTTCTTGGGTCATCCAATGATTAGTAGCATTCTAATACATCGATTAGAGAGACTATGAAAATGTTGTCGTCTTACAGGATCTTTCTTACTGTTAGTAATGGTGATTTGAGAAAGGACTTGACGAGAGCAACTTTTCAATCAGGATTATATCACATTCGGGACCTTGAGTAAAAACGGTGGCAACGATACGCGGGTAAATTTGCTAATGCTATTTTCTTCCACGAAAACAATCGACTTAAAGTCAACGTCGAAACAAGGAACGAAATCGAGGAACGAAAGTGCCCTTCTGATTTCTGGTAAAACAGAAGGAGGAGTGTGTCAAAGGTTCTCGTAACGCTCGTTTCCGACGGGGTTTGCACAAGGAAAGAGGAATAAGAGAGGAAAGCCGTCGTAAAACCATACCATAGGGCACGCTCAGATCGACGTAGTACCACGGGGATGTCGTGATATCATTTTACGGGATTGCAGGAAGAGAGAGAGACTCGTGAGGATGATCCCGAGTACCGTAATAGGATTTTCGGGATCAGAGCTTTACGCAGGAAGGATTGCGGTATCTTTCGGGCACCAAATAACGCATAACGCGAAATTTTCAGCTTCCGCAGACAGAATACAGCTTTAATTAACAGAATGTCCTATAATTACGTAAACCACTTTAGCGAAATTTTAACTGTCCACCTGACTTGGATGATAACGCAAAACGAGATAATAAATTCCGTACCGTTAATTACATATCGTCCGCATAAAGACAAATTGAGTTTTAAATCAACTTTTCATGATGCTATTTTTGACAACGCTAAACTTTACCGAATTCTATTAAGATATACGTTTGTTTTCTGCTATTTTTATCTCTGCTATGTAATTTACATATTCTCCGACATATTTTACATATATACATTTCTGTTAAATACTTATAAACATTATCGCATAGTTTCTTTTCATTTCAATTACAATATTTAAAATGTTTAATTGCGTTCAATTATGTTTAGTATCTTTCAATACTTGAAATTATCTTTCCCAGCTGCGTTGTGTCAACTTTGGGACTCAAAGTACAGACGTAAATCAGGTCTCTAAGAATAGATACTAAAATCCCCTGGCTTATAAAAATGTTGAAACGGTCAGGTGAAAAATTTGTATACAGCCCGGAAGATATACGTCGCAACCGTTTGTATGTTCAGGAAGGATCTAGCCAGCTACGAAAAGACGTTCCGCGCGCGCGCGCGCGCGCGCGCGACCTCCGGAGAGATTTCGCCGAAAAGAAATCCGACCTCAACGACGCGTTTAGGACACTCCTATTGTACAAAGTAACCCCCCGTACCCTCTTTTTTAAGCGTCCGGCGCAGCGCGTCGACTCTCGAACGGTGAAAACACCGAGCAGACTCCATATGTCGATTATCCGTTCGCAGAGCGAAAGAAACGCGCGAGTAAAGTCGAGTAACAGAAGACGAGGACGACTAAACTGTACAAGAACATCATTTCTACTACGTTTTCCGAGCTCAATGCAATTATACGTCGTCACTATCCGACGATAAAATCAGATGTACTTTCATTAACGAAGCTCGCAATTAATATTGGCATGAGAGATTACGTTTCATCTTTATCGTAGCAAATTGTAATAACGAATAAAAATGTCATTTAATGATTTCACTTTATAGATAATAAATGTTGCAGAATTGATGAAAAAGATTCTAGTTTACGAATTAGAAATATCCTGATAAATTAAAAAATTGTGAAATATTATACATTGTCTAGTCGACTAGTATCGAGAGTGGACGCGCGCGCGCTTACTTTTTACATTTTAAGAACATACACGGTTACGTATAGGTAGTTTTGTGGGCGAACAAAGCGAGCAGAGTGTTCCGAGCCGTTCTCACGCGATGAGAAGCGGAAAGTACTTTACGACTCTAGCTATATAAAGCAGAAAAAAAAGAAAGACTCTCGAGCGAGAAGAGAGATCGTCGTAGCGTATGATGTCCGTGCAAGCTTACTAGTGCCGCCGTGCTTTTTCGTTAACTCCGTTTCGTCGCTCGTACCTATCGAACGATTTGTATGAAAGTCATCGTGGTGAGTCGTCGCGAGACTGGCCGTAGTAATCGAGATTTCGCGACATCAACGAGCGAGTTTCGATTTTACAGTAGCAGAAATATTAGACTCTCATTTTTGAAACATACTCTTCCTATGTATAATTCTACCATGGTATATAATTCTTAATAATTTTACAAGGATGTTAAATCGTTATATCATCATTTTACGTTGTACACTCTATAATTATAGAATGAAAAATGTTGAAACTGTTTTAGGTCTCGTGTGAAATTGTTCAACTCGCTCGCTTAATATCGCGACTCGATTCGAATGTGCAATTACCGTGACGAGACGGCGAGTCCGCGAATAGTGAACAAAAGAAAGAATGTATTTTATGATATTTTACGCATAAAGGAAAGAGGAACGATCGTAAATCGAAATATAGCGTTAGTTGAAGGTAAATTTAAGTAAGTAGAAGTGTATAAATAAAATGAGACAATTCGCGCGGGGACACCGCGTCGCGATCAAACGCGATTTTACACGTAAGGAGAATCTCGGTCGACGAGAAGTGGATGGGACCGCGGAACGGTGGTACGTTGCGTCCGTCACGTTGATTAATTGATTAACGATGAGACGTTTACTTTTCATTGTTGTAGCCGGTATTATCTCAATGCACGAGCGTTCGATCGTAAGAATCTCCGCAAACACGAGACTCGCTCGACGACACTTTTGCGAATTAACGCGAATCACCGTTTCGCGCGAACGATGCCCAATCACTGCTATACTAAGCGCTACTGTAAAATATTGTATATTATTTCGCGTTGTTTATTTTTCAATGTTTTTACTAGAAACGCGTTTCTACGGTATTTAAAGAAGAATTACCGCATAATGTTACGCGCTGCTCCGTTACACCGTATAGATTGCGAGAACAGTCGTGCAATCGTTATCTCTAAATAAGTACTAGAATCCTCACCTGTGTACAATATTTACACAGAGAATTTGAAAATAAATTTTAATTAACATCGTACGCGCAATTTTGCGCATTAAAAGGTTACAATTTGCATGCGGCGCATCCTCCAATTTCTCTCGTGTTTTCCTCATTACGTTCAACCTCTTTTCCAACCGGCTTTTCTAACGACAATTTCCGTTTTCCTAATTCACGTCGCGAGAGAACTTGAAATAATTTACGACCCGGCCAACTCTATTACCATCATTGTCCGCTCTCTTACGGTGTTGCGAACCAGCGGGATAAACACGTTTGTAAAACTGCAGCGTATCTCCAGCAGCTTTCGCAGTGTGTGTGTGTGTGTGAGCTAAAAAAAAACGAATGCAGAGCAAAACTAGTCTAGGGCACATTTAAAGAGCGTATGGCTTGGGTGCGGAGAATGTAATGTCCGACTTTGGCGTCACTCACGTGCTTTTGAAGAGAAACAGAATATTTCGAGTAGAAAATCTTACAAACATGTAATTATACGCAGTTATATTCGCGAAATGGCCATCTCAGCAACTACACTCATCTCTTGCAGAATGTGTAAAATTCCACGAATACTGTTCGCCGAACTTTCCTATAATTTCATGAAATGTCGTCAATTTGCTCATGAGAAAGTTTGAAAATATTGACCTTTCGGAAAACTTGTGAAAAGAAGACGAGTTAATGTAATTTATTAAGGTAATTCGCATAAATAGAAAATATTCGATATCTGCGACAATAGCCCCTTGAAATTTGAAACGTTGGTGAAAGTGGAAGGTCTGGGATATAATTTTTTACAATCTTGAATGCTCGAAAGTACTATTTTCTCAAAAGTACCGTATGTCTCAAAGACGAGCCAAGCGGACGAGAATCGTACGTTTGCGTTCCGCGATAGTCTTTATAGCGAAAAGACTACGCACTATTAATAATATGGCTAATTCTAGCAGCACGAAGTATTAACGTTAATAGCGAAATTATTATAAGGGAGACGTAACGGCGAATTACTAATAAAGGTATAGGTCGCCATCGATGTTTCCCGAAACAACCTCCTTCGACAAAATATACGACGCTCGGAACAGTGGCAGATGTAAATGAAAAAAGTGATACTCTTTTATTCCAATAATTGGCTAATCTTTCAAGAGGCTAAAATTTTATAATGATCGCCTAACAAATAGTATGCAATAAAAATGTTACGCTCCCTACCCAAAAACTGTTGACTCTTCCCTACGCTGAAGAAACCAATTTCACTTACCACCTTTAATTGTTACGCAAAAGGCAATTGCAGATTATAATGCAAAGTACGAAAAAAGAAATTGGAAAATTTTCTACGGTTGGAATAGATTGAAATAGATGCACGAAAATGTCATTTAAATATGTGCAAATGACACAAAAATAATGCAGGTATTAATTATCTGGAATGATGAGATAAGATGAAAAATATACAGCTTGGATACGGTAAAGTGTTTGGAGGAGACCGAAAAATAAATTTAAGTAAAAGCTCATTCGTCGTAACACATAAAAAGTCTTACAACAAAGAAATTGGATTTTTCGACAATATAAATATGCAGCTCTCAATTATTCGAATAAGAAGCAATTATTTTCATTCATTTAGATTTGTCATCGGATCGAGTGCCGATTACCGGGCATCGCGGACAAACGATAGCGTGTGTAAGGCACAAGATGATTTTTATTACCGAGTTTCATTTCTATCCAAGTGAGGCAGATTATGATGGAATACATTACGCTTGTAAAATATGATTTACCTGAATTTAAAAAGTGTGACGCTAAACTTTTCAATTCTGTTTTTCGATTACACGTGACTTTTTCTTTAGAATACTTTAGAAATGGAGTATGACGCGAGGAATTGTTAGGAAATGATTGAGGCTAGTGTCAGCATCGAGACTCGATGTGAGAGAAGCTTTACGCTGGAAGACGCTAAGCGTTAGATGATTACTATAAAGCGTCAACAAGCGAAAATACTTAATTCTAGTCGTATCTCTCATGCTTTGCCAAGTAAGCATATATAACTTTTGTGTTTAAATGTAACAGTCAATTATGTTTTAATAAAATCTGCCAAGATTCTCTTGTCAGTGTTTCATGTTTTCCTGAGCCCTTTTATTCCTATCTTTGTTTTTTTTTTTTTTTTACACAAAAGAAAACTTTGAACTACATTCATAACTGAAGTTTAGAGTATTGGAAAAAAAAGAAACCAGACTTTTTAAATTGATATTGTCAAACACAGTATTTAAATATGTTTACTTGTACTTTCTTCCGGGTTCTCTACTCGTATTTCAAGGATCTGGTTTTTGTTAAAAAAAATATATATTCCTAGGAAAATACGTGGAGAATATTTCACATGTTAAAAGCATTATACATATTAATAAAAATATTATATATATAGAAGAGTATCGCTGTGCGATTCAACCATGACATTTTGCAATGGAATAACACAACAGAGCAGTCTTTGGTGGTGATGGTACCTATGCAGCTGACGTACAATGCAGTTTGTATTTACAATCACTGTATATAAGTCAACGTGTTTGTATACAAACACATAGACTCAGATATTTTTATAACTGACTACAGTATCCATTTTATGTATAGAGGTTGAAAATGATCTAAGTTGTACCTCTTGACTATTTGCAATAAAAACTGGCTGAGTCTCGTCCCACTGGTTAGGAATGTTACAGTCCGGTACGGTATACGTAAGTATGTCGAAGGAACACAAACAATCCAAAAGCGGCAGGAAGCTGACGGTGCCTGGAAACAATAGCTCGCATTAGAAACGCAAAAGAGAAGAATCGCAGCTTAAACTCTGGTGATTACCTGTGATCTGACGTATCACTTCGCGTATCTCCTTCTGTATAGTCTTGACATCCTTGGTCCCTACTTGGGGTAGACTGGCCTTTACACTGCCATCTGTTCCGTTGGCTTTCTCGTCTTCGTAGTCGATCTTAAAGTCCCACTTCTCTAGCACCTCCTTCGTGTTGACGTTGGTGATGACGAGCGTGATCTTGCGCACCTTACGCTGGACGAGCCACTCTTGGATTTGTCCCAGCACGGTGTTCAAGAAGGACGCAATCTTCTCGTCCGTGGACGTGAAGATGAAGAGACCAAAGTGCTCGGAGGGTTGAAACGTCTCCGGGGGATATATTCCTCTTTGATAGAGTATACTATTGACCCCATAGACTGCAAACCGAGGGTAACAATCGTCAAAGTTTCTTTTCCCTCTACTAGGTCATTAGACGAATCATGAGAGAGGTTAGACGTATCCAGAGCCCGATATTGAAGCTGGCGAAACGGTACTTACGGAGATATTGCGCGACCAGCTCGGCAGAACCTTTCAGAGTAATGCACTTGGCCTTTTGCTGCGTTTCCGTCATACCGCGACACAGTTCGTAGCTCTTGACCGGGAAATCGGAACGGCGGCCGGCGGCGTCACACGAACGCCGGGTTACGAATTTGAAAAGCAACGGTTAATGGAGGACCAATCGCGTGCGAGCGCTTGCGTAGCGTAACCATGTGAATCCAGCCTTAGGCCGTAAAAACCAATGACAGTTATTGAAATGTGATTGGCCAATTTCTCATTAATGTAGGAGACGCCATGTTTATTTGACGTTAAACGCGGATCGTACGGAAGTTGGTCTATCACTATCGCGCATACACTTGGACCGGACGCCAGCAGCGCCGCGGATGCTGGCGGATACCACGACTCACGACGACTCTCCACGAGTAGCCCACTAGAGAGCCGGCACGAGGACGAGGCGTACGAAAGCAAGTATAACCATCCGTTCGAGGGTGTTGCTCACTTACGATTGGCATTCGTTTCAAGCACCATGGTTGGCGTTGATGATCTATTTGTCAGCTCTCTCGTGCACGAATATTTATTGAAGAAAGATGCATCGTTGGCGCTCATCTTCCAGAAGAAGACGAAAGCGGTAAGTCGCGGTGGCGGCTGACGCCGTGCGCAGTTACCACGCGGTACTCGTTCGCCGCCATACTCTAGAACCACGTGTTCCTTCTCGATTCTTCTACCATTCAATCCATGCTTGTATCTTTCAGCCTGCCCTACCAAAAGGATCCCCGACGATACTAGACGTATTTCAGTTTTACCAAAAGAATTCTCCGAAAAAGATCACGGTCATCGCGCAAAATCAGGAAAGCAGCTCGGAATCCAACTCGGAAAGCGAAGAGGAAACGGAAAAGAGCGTTGCACAAGTTAACGGCAAAAAATCCACTGTTCAGATGGTACCTCTCAAAAAAGTAACCAAATCCTCGGAGGAGTCTTCTAGCGAAGATGAGGAACAGGCCGAAAAAGTAACACAAAAGAAAACTACAAGTGCCAAGGTTCCTCCTGCGAAAAAGGAAGAGAGTTCAGATGATGATGATGATGACGAGGATGAGGACGAACCGCCGAAAGTTGAAACAAAAACAAGTGACAAAGCGAAATCTACTCCTGCGATTAAAGCAGCAAAGGGAATCGTAAAAGCGCTTCAATCGTCCACCAAAACTTCAACGAATTCATCCTCCGACGATTCATCTTCCAGCGATTCTACGGACGAGCCATCGACATCCAAACAAACTAGCAAACAGTCAATTAAGACGTCCACGCCTAAAGTAATGGCAGTTGCAAAAACACAAAAACAGAATAAACCGATTGCAAAAGAAGAATCGTCATCAGAATCGAGCGAGGACAGCAGTGACGAGGCAAAACCAAGCAATGTTTCTAGCGATCTGTCTCGTACTCTCGACACATCAAGTTCGAATGTCTCTAAGAAATCAACTTCAGTAGTTGTTGCTAAGAAAAAAGAATCTTCCCTGAGCGAAGAAGAGAGCAGCGAAGAAGAAAGCAGCGAAGAGGAACCTAAATTAGTGGCAAAGGCGCAAAGTCAGAGTAAGCCCACGCCAGCAAAAGCAGTTAACAAATCGGAATCGTCAACTAGTGAAGAGAGCAGTGAGGACGAGAAGGAGTCTAGGACGAAGAAACCAATTGCTAGTAAATCAACAGTAGCAACCAAGGCTAGCGCCAAGAAAAAATCCAACGACGAGGAGAAACAGTCGGTTAAGAAGCCAATCTCGGCAGCCGCTACCAAGAAACCAGCTACAATTGCCGCCACCAAGAAGGAAGAATCTTCCTCGGATGAGAGTAGTGAAGAGAGTAGTGAAGATGAAGCAGCAGCTCCCGCTAAGCAAAATACCGCTAATAAAGTTGACTCTATAAAGAAAAAAGAGTCCGAGTCAAGCGACGATTCGAGCGAAGGTGATTCGGAAGATGAGGCACCTGCAAAGGCGCCGGTCAAGGCAGCTACGAGCAAAAAAGAATCGTCAAGCGAATCTGATGCCAGCGATTCCGATGAAGAGGAGGCAAAAGTTGAGGCACCAGCTGTAGGACAGAAAAGGAAACTCGCCGACAATACTGAGGACAAACCAACAGCCAAAGCTGCAAAAAATAACTATGGCAACTTTGTCAAGGCTAACAGCAACTTGAATGGAAACAAGGTACGTGATGTTTTCATATCAAATATCCTCTAAAACATTCGTTACTGAACTAAATGGAAAGTAATGGATCAACAGTTCTTGCAAAAGCTGAGTTTGCTCATAAAAACTATTGAAAATTATTGTACATTTTTTACTCTTACTCGCTCTCTAAATGCAACCATTACTGCAGAGTTCAAGTAACAGTTAAACGTGTTTACTATATCTTACTATTCTTATCATGTATCTGATTTTTGTATCTAGCCACAGAGAAATCGTACGTTTCAACGCGTGAAAAGCGACATCCAATTGGATCCTAAGTTGGCTAATAATTCCTTCGAAGCAAAGGTAAATGCTCGGAAACCGTCCGAGAGGCATAGGTCACTCGCCCTTTTTGCAAAAGCTTGAGACCAGGTTTCCGTGCATTCACCAAGTTTAGGCAAATTTTGAGATCTAAAGCAAACGAAAGCAAGAAAGAAAGAAAGAAAAAGTACATTTTTCATATGGGCGATTGACTTATTCCTCTTTTGTTTTAGGATGAAGATGAAGCCAATAACAGTTTTAAAAAACATAACTCTGAACAAGGCGGATTCAGGGGTGGATTTAGAGGCGGTAGGGGTGGTTTTAGAGGAGGACGCGACGAGGGTGGTCGTGGCGGTTTTAGAGGAGGACGCGGCGGCGACCGGGGTGGGCGTTGGAACAGCGGTGGCGATAGGGGTGGTCGCGGCGGAGGCTTCGGCGGAGGTCGTGGTGGCTTTAGAGGCGGTCGCGGTGGTGGTGGTGGTGGAAGAGGTGGCGGTAGAGGTGCTTTCGATGGCAGAAAATCTTGGGGCGGAAACAATAGCGACGGCCCAAGAAAATCGTGGGGAAACAACGAGACCGATAATAGAGGGGGTTTTAAGGGTGGTTCCAATAAATGGAATTCTTTCACCTCGGCACCAGCTCAAAATAAAAAAATTACTTTTGACGATTAATATTCAATAGTCGACTGTATATAAAGGTGAGGGAAGGTTCGGCGCGATTGCATCACTGTAGAGATATAATCGTTTAGCCTTTAGATAACATGTGTATCTGTTTCACATATTTCTTCTTTCTCTCTCTCTCTCTCAACAGAAAGGCGCACGAGGTTCCTGGGGAGAACGCGCCAATGAAGTACTGAAATTTACTAAGGGCAAAAAGTTCCGACATGAGAAGCAAAAGAAAAAGCGTGGTTCTTATCGCGGAGGACAAATAGATATGAGTGTTAATTCCGTTAAATTCGACGATTAAACAATTGTATTGCTTCATTATCACTACTTCATTTTCATATCTAGATCAATAAAATAATCGGTTAAGTTCAATACTCAGTTTTACGAGACAAGTTGCGACATGAAAAGCGATAAAAAGTATGATTCTTGTCACATGAGATACCCATATTAATTCCGTCAAGTTTGATTAAACAGTCGTTAATTTTTTTTATTATGACCGTATTTAGTTAAGTAAAATAAATAATTAAGTTTAACACTGATTTATTCTGTAAACATGCCTAACGAAATATACAAGATAATTGTTGTTCAGTATTTTAAAGAAAAGACTAGATGTTTTAACGAGTTTGGCTGAATGTGAGTATACACTGATGTACAAATACAACTGCAAGTTTAAGCTATGTGCACTATACATAATTGAAATTCATGAAACATAAAGTGGAAGCAAGTAAAATATTTCGCATAAATTAGCGTATTTAACGTAGAATATTTTATTCAGCTAGGTATTTGTATTATGTGATTATGCATATAGTCCACATATACTTTTAATCTGTATCATGTACAACCGAGATTGCTATTGGAGAAAATTCACACTATTGAACCCACTATTATCAAACAGTATACACTCGATAAAACCACGTGTTCCTTATTGTTCGCAGTTGTTGATACTTGCAACATTTGCTTAATTTTCCATATGTATGTGTCATGAAAGTCTGTTAATCTTTAATCTTATCAAAGACAGTGCTAATAATACAAGAGAAGGATGTTTTTAAGTATACTATAAATTACATTATAACAAATACTGTACATTCGTTTTAGAGCAATTAAGAGTTGATAGTAATAAATGTTACAGTGTTATTTTTTATTACAGTAATTCATAGTAAAATCTAAATGCTGCGTTAACCAATCAAGTAACCATTATTTATCATTTTTCATTAAAAATATAAAAGCTTATTAATTATTAAATAATTGAAGAAAATTTATACTACGAATATAATCTGTAATGTTGATTTTATGATGCAAAGAGGATTTAGGTAAACTTTAATATTGCTTGATTTAATTTTTCAAAAAATTAATTTACAAAAGAATTCTTTGAACAATGAATCTATTATAATTGATAAGTACTTTTCTACATTTTATGGATAACAAAACTTCGGGGTTGGGAAAGTTACTTAATAAAAGTACTTAGTTACAGTTACAAATAAACAATTTTGAAAAGTAACGAATCTTTGCAGTCACCTTGCAATAAAAATGAAAATATCAAATCTGCATTTGAATTGTTAAGTGTTGGTAAAGGCGTTTATGCAAAAATTACATAAACTATTAAATTAATTACTAGTTATCGAAAAAGTATAACTGAGCCAAGTTACAGTTGCAGATGGAGAGAAAGTAACCAAATTAAGCTAGAGTTACCCAAAAAAGATGTAACTGTAACTTGTCAACCCTGCAAAACTTTGTTTCTTTTTACTTGTATGAAATTACTTTTTTAAAGCAATTTTACAATAATTTTTTCCAAAAAGATACGATTCTCTTTCATTATCAGTCATTTTAGTATAGAAAAACTGTGAATGTTGTGCATTTCCCGACCCACCTATTTGAAAAAGGGATTCCTTGAAAGGGGCAGAGACTACCCTCTTTCACATGAAATCATCTCTCTCTCCACCAACAGGCGGAAAAAGGTTGAGAGGCAGAATAGGAGCCAGTATCCCCGGCCAGAGAGGAAGAAAGAGAAAGAAAGATCCCCTCTTTCGCCTCAGCTCGCTGCCCAAGCACAGAGAGCGGTTACTTACGATTCTACAGTCAACCTCTGGACATCCACCTGCGAGGACGGAGGTGCTCGACCCCACTCGACATCCGGTGCAGTGACATGGACAGTGTTTAAGGAAGAGAAGGAGAGAATCGTGTGCCCCAATTCTAATATTCCCTTTTTCTGTATCTATATCTTTTTTTTACTTACCGATCTCTCGGGGACAGTCTGCTTGAGTTTAATGTAACGTGGAGATTGCCGGACAGGCCGAGAAAGGACTTCTAACTCAAGCTGAAACAAATGTTCCTCACGGTGAGTAAGATACAGATGAAACGTTTTTTCGAAATTGTCATTCAAATTTTATCGTTACCGGCCGATTCGAGTGTGGTTCGCCAATTTCCCCTCGAACGATCAATTTTGCGACAATAAACAATAATACACAAATTTAGGTTCAAAGTTATACAAGTTCGAAACGAAGTTTGGGTCTATGGACCATCACGATGAATGCAATATAATGCGGTTCGACGGTTGTAAAATCCACCCCGTTCATCATCGCACTTAAGAGGTCTGGAATCTACGCGAACGGATAGACGAAAAAGGAACCCTAAAATACTCCTTTCTCAAAGAGGATTAGTTGGTTTAAAAGGCCGCATGATGCTGGCAACATTTATTATATCTAATTGTAAGACACAATGTAAATGCATAACGTTTAGCTATGCCGCTTCAAACAGCGAGTTTTTCTCGAGGTATACTACCACGTTACACTTTGATCACGCTTTTTCCGTTGGTCGAAATTCTTTTCACCTGGCAATGTATAATCAGTGACTGACCAAAAAAAAAATCAACGATTGATCGAATCAGACAATGAAATCATTTTAATTTCATTTAATTTCATACTTTTCTGATATTATATAAATATTAGGTTTCTCAAGTCAAATCTAATTTGATGTTTAAATTTGCGGAATAAATTAAGATTTTTAGATAATAAAACGGTAAGATGAGTGTTAAGTCGCGATTGGTTTGTCGTGTCATCAGCCGCAAGAAAGAATTTAAACCTCGCGGTGACAGTCGGAATAATTTATTCATGAAACAAACCACCGAAACACATTCACCGTTACCGAGCACAAGGATAAGTAAACGTACAACTCGATAATGTTCAACTTGTATGAGAGGAAACGACGCGACGTTTTGGATGAATCGACGTTACCGTTAGATTTGGCGACGCATCCTTGTGTGGACCGTCGAGAATTTTCTCTCAAAGCAAACATCAAAAATTCCTTTCTTTAATAAATGAATAGCGTTAAATAATTAAAAAGTTTTAAAAATATATTTTATTATACTATATATTTGAAGAGCGACACGAAGAATTGCCGCAAAAATTAAAACTTGATTCAACGATTATTTATCAAATAAATAAAATTTTGATCATCTGTTTTGTGTCAAGAGCGCATTTCTGAGATAACATATTTTACAGATGGTCATTTATCACGTGATAAAGATGAGGAAGAGGGAAAAAGCGATCGTAATTTGAGTAGTAACAGTACACTTACGGCCGCCCGAGACGATTACAGAACGACGTTAGGAATCACTACCTGGCATAATCCCCATCCGAAATTGCCGCCAGCACGGAGCCGGCGGAGATCTCGATCGCGCGGGCTCTTGAGGTTCAAGCGATTCCCACATGCGCGTTCTCTTCCTTTTACGAGCGTCCGTCGCGGCGCGTTAAACGACATTTATATGTTTTAAACATTAGTGTGAACTAAGATATTTAACAATTAATTTATTAGTATTGTACCAATTATCTCTGCTTCTTGATCAATTTCCTCGGGAAGCAAAGATGTATATATTAGAAAGCTTATTTCTCACTCATGTTCTCGAAATCGTTGGCTTGCCAACTCACCACCGAGTGATATTCGCTCTCTTTGGGAATTTCGATCGATCGCATAGTAAATTGGAGCCATGTACAAGTCGCGTCTCACCGTGACTCTCGCGCGAAAAAATGCAGGGCGGAACGAGAGACCGTAAAAAGGACCGCGACCGCATCGCGGAGCTAAGAACGCGGCGCCGGTAGGCGTGAGAACGCTTTTAATTAACCGCAAGGTCGCAACGGTGGAGTAAGTAACGTTATACAGCGGGACGTATAGACGTGGATCACGCGAGATCTGGTTAGCTCTTTCTTCGTTGCGTCGACCCGAGAAATGAAGCGCCTATCGCGCCTTTTCCGCGCTTGCAAGAAAGGCAAAAGGCTCGGTTGTTGTTACCCAAGGCGGATAATGTAAGGAATGTGCGACGGAGCGGAAAGAGCAATCAGGGAGAAGTTTGGCTCTCGTGTAATCATCTCAATCTCTTTCGGCTTGCTTCTGCGTCAACGGCTCGATCGAGAGCCTCCTTCTAATTTTCTCTCAATATCATTTAATCGGGAGATTTTGCGAGTTATAACGATTACGCGGTAGACGGGAGAGACGAAGGAGATCAGTGGCGGGATCAAGGATATGTCGAGTGCGAACACGCGCGCATGCCCGTCTCTCGACGGTCACGGCCATTGACCAACCTTGGACGGTATCCGTTAATGATTTCCTTGCTCTCCCATTGTTGAGCGTGGCTCGTTAGTCAGGCGCCGTCAAACGTCAATCGAGTCCTACTCCAACAAGCAATAATCTCGTCCGGGATTTTTCTTGGCAAATAGCAGTTATTTTGCAGGGATCTGTATATGATTAGATATATACATTTTTCCCTGCCATGGCACGAGAAGTTGAATCTCGTCCGACGAGGACTCGCGTCAACATTCGAAAGCAATCGAAGCTTGTTATTCCGCACACGCGAAAATTGCAATCAAAATGCAACGTCGTGCGCGCGTCGAGCTTCTTTCCGAACGTGCGATCGCTTTCACTCGTAGCAGCGCGTTATGAGCGCGCATAACGGATTTTACACGGTCCCACCAACCTAGAAACCTCCAACTGCATATAGGAAGTCACGCGTCGATTATGCGATCGCTAATCGTTATTCCTAATTCGCGCGCCCTCGCCGTTCACTCTCTCTCTGTCTCTTCCAATGGCGCACGTCGCGATTCTCATTGTTCCACATACGAGGCGTCATTTTTCTCCGCGGTGAACCTCACCCGCGAAACGGAAATCCTTTCGGCGCGGATTCCGAGAGCGAAATGATGGCGAGCATCACGAGAACCGGTCATTTCCCGCCGATTATCCGTTACATCAAATTACTCGTACGTACGGTGCTCATACCGTGAAAGGATTAATTAGAGCTATACACCGCGATAACTGAGAAAATATCATCGAGGCCTAATGGGAATCAGATATATTCACTTTCCGATAAGATTGCAGCTTTTTTGTGCGCAAAACACATATCGTATATATAGCATTTTATAAATATAGAGATTAAACGTATCAGTTGTGCTAGGACGCCGAAGAAAAAGAAACGATAAGCATAAACTTAATTACGCAAGAAGAATTCCTTTAATCTAGATAGCTAATCTAAAAGCCGTCTTAAAGATGTCTGAAAATGATGTAAATAGTCCAAGTTTGCATTCCTTCGCGTTTGATTTCAACCGAGAACACTTATTGTTTCTCGCAGTATTTACCGATTGTAAAAATAAGAAATTGTAGGATGCTCTTTGGGAAATATCTGAAAAATAGCTCCTCGCTCGGCGCAACGGCTTCAATTCAGGAAGCGTTGCGGAATTTTCTCTCGAGCTGTGAAGTGCGTGCTCGCACCTGCGTGTGTCATTTACTCTTGCTCTTGACCTCTTGCGAACTCGGGTTCCAAGACCGCTCGCTCGCTCGCGCGTTCTTATCCAGCCTACGCATGCTGACGCAGCATGCGTGAGTTGATCGCCAGCGGTATCAATCTTTATTAACAAGAAGATAATACCCCGGCAGAATTTCGCTCGCGGCGAAGCGCTCCTCTCTGCTATCGCTTTATCTAATGTTACGTTGACGGTCCTTTGCTGCAAACGGTGCTAGAATATCTGCATAGGATATGTCTACGCTAAACCATCACTTTAGGCGCTACGCGTAGTCATTCAACGATGGTTGAATTGTAAAAGTGACTTTTCAGAAGTTAAGATAAATACAAAGGATCCCTTGTACATTACTTCTGAAACGTCTCTGACCCTTTGCTTTCAGATGTCCAGGTATCTCGGTCTGATACTTGTTATCGCGGCTTTTACGTATGCATACGCCGCCAGGAAGTGCGAGGGTAACGGTCTAGGTCTAAAATATACATGGGGCGATGCACTCACCGATCCCGAGGACTGCATAGGACCGAATAACATGCAGTACCCCTCGTAAGTAGTCTACTACTTTTCTTTTGCGAAACATTTTTCTTATCTTACGTTCTCCAATCGGTAGTTTGGGTACTTGGCAGTTTCCCATATTATTTCATGTAAAAAGCGATAATTTAAGTACTTTTGTTCGAAATATTTCCATCTATGCACGTGTTAGCAGTAATTTCAAGGAAAGCATTGGTTGTTTTCCGCTCCGTCGGTGAGAAAACATCTCCAGGATGAGTTAAATACGCAACGACAGCAACTATTGGACTATGTTTCGAGGGGCAGATTATACTCAAACTATCGAGCGGTAGCGTGTAAGAGAAGATGTTAATAATAGCTAGGCAGAGTGCAACGGATGTTATGTGTACCGTTCTCGCAGCGCCGCGATATCGAGGAGCTTTAAGAACCTCTGGGCGGGCAGTAGTCGAACCGCGCGATCGCATCAGCCATGGACGATTGATCCCGAACTGACGAGGAAGGCGCTTTTGCACAACTACAAAATGGCCCACGGGGACTATTCTATCGCCGGAAGCTCCCGGAACGGTAAGTCCGCGTGCTTTTAACGTGCTTTATCTCCGCGAATCGCCATTTTTCACACCCTTATCTAAATCGCAGCAGCTAATTATATTGTGACCCAGTGGAAGTTGTTTACAATCTTGTTAATCTCCCGTGTCGACCGGTTTTAATCTGCACGTGCAACTTTGCTTCCTCCCGTTTCGCGTTCAAGTTTATTTTAATCCTACGCCGAGGTGTGTGTGTGTGAACGAAAGCTAAGAAGTGATCAAATCCACTCAATATTTCTGTCATCTCTTGGGTGAACATAAATGTTGGGTGAACATGAATAAATCTCCCCTATCTCGATCGACGATTCACAAAAACAAATGTGTTTTGATTGTACGGTAGGCCAAGTATACGAACGGAAGTTTAGAAATGAGAGATAAGATCAGCAACCACTTTTGCCTCACTCAACTCGTCGGTGTGCGTGTAAATAAGTAAATCGCTCCTATCTCGATCGCGAATAAATTGAAAGGATTAAATCACTACCGTAGAAAAACAAACGTGGAGTGACAAAGGTAATCGACGAGCAGAAACGTTACGAGAGGTGGTAAAAAGTAAATGAGAAAATTTGCGCTTCAACCTGAAGTAAACGACTTCCAGGACTTGAACGAAAAAGCCTATGTTCTACCGAAGGCGAATTATCCGGGCAAGCGCGAGTGCTCTTGCCTCGGTATTCGCATAAAACGACCCTGTTCCCACGCAGCCGAAGACCCCGGAAAAAAAAGCTCCGTGGCGCGGCGGCGGCGGCGAACGGCGCTCGGGGGGCCCCACGAAAATTGGAACAGCCGGTCGCGAGGTGGGTAAGGTACCGTGAGCCACACGGCGTGCACAGCCGTTTACGATCGTTGCCCTGCAGCCTTCAGTTATGCGCGGCTGTCCTGACACGAAAACCCGCTTCTAACCGACTTCTAATCACCTCGTGTTTCCTCACCGGGCAGTCGGAGCTTCTGCGAAATTCGCGCGCGGCCCAAGAGATGATAGTCGGTCGGTGTGGCGCACCGATGGGCCAGCAATAAGGCATCGCGTTATCCAGCCAATACAGTTATCGTTGCTTGTGCTCATAACGGGACCCGCCGGCGACCCACTCGTTTCGAGCGTATATGCTCGTCTCGAAATGCTCGACGAAGGCCGTTGATTCCGAGAGCGAATCTCGATTTAACGCCAGTTGTTCAACGTCGCTACTTGATTTTCTAGTAGGCCTCAATCGGTAGACTCGATCACTCGATGCTCAAATTTATCTGCAGAATTCAGAGCTTGGATATATTATAGACAAAGTTTATTACCGTCATTATTCGCAACAAGTGTTGTATATTGTAGACAAAAATCATGTTGAACACTGCGTTCGAAAACTTGTACAGAAGAGTCATCTCTCGTCTAGGAAAAAGGCTCGCTGCTTGTAATTTTGTCTCTGGCAGAAAATTGAGCGATGAAACTTTTCGTGTTCCGACTATGGGACATTGACGCGTTTAATCATCTATATACTTGCAAAGACGTTGTTTTTAATGTTTGCAATCCGAATAGGGGCTCGTGCGAATCCCGTATTCTTACGGGACCGTCTCATACTATACCGTATTATAACGTTCTAGTGCTGTCAATAAACCGCAGTAACGTTTCATGTCAAGTATACGTATTTGCGCGTAAATAAGTACAGTCCGCGTGAAAATTACAATGCAGTATCAGGTCACAATTGTGCACAATAAGGGGGGAAAAAATTGTATTCTCACAAAATGCTCGTCACTGGGTTTTCAGGCCGTGCGTTTTCCGCGAAGGAAAGTTGCGGCTCGCCCGCCAGGCTGTGTAAAACAAGGTACAACACCACGGCACCTATGTACGGCATCAGCCTCACTAGCGGACAACCAGTGACGATCGTGCAAAAGTTCCCCGATCTTCTGCAGCAGGTCGTCTTCGAAGTATGCGAGTGAGTATCTATATATTGACAATGAGATTTCTCGGGGAATTCGTAAACAGCTTTTAGTGAATTCAAATAAAGCCGATGCTCGTGTTTACATCCCAAGTTGTTCGGTCGAAAGTTGATCGTAAATAACTTTTATAATTTATCGGCCACTTGTCTAAAAGGCTAAGCAAAGTTTTCTTTCATTTTCGATAAGGGTACTAAAGCACGCAAAAATTGTATTGCTTTTTTAGCGCTTTGCTACAATACTTTTATCGACGCGATGTATCGCGCCAATTTTTGAACAGTGATTTATAAGAGCAGCGGGACATCGGGCCAGATTAAAATTCACCTGGGCCGCCCGCTCGCTGAATTAATTCAAATGTGGCACAGTAGGATGAACTGGTTTACAACTGTGTGTTCGTGATCGACATGCGCCTACTTTGGACATGTTTTTTTATGGGAAATTCCTTGCCAGATAACTCAAACATAGCTCTGTTGGCACGAAGCATCGTGCTAGTGGACCAATGTTAGTAACCTCGCTCGCAATTTTACACGTATCTCTATCGTGAAGCGGGGAAATAATTTGAAGGAATTTCCTCTTTTTCACTGAAGCGTCGCTCGTAAAAAGAATCATGTTGTAACGATAGATGCGAATGTCTTAACGTACACACGAGCAACCTGTCCCGCGTGGTTTACACTCCAAGTTATGTCAGCAATGGCTTACGTATTCGAGCGCTACGGAATCGCTAGCTAGCGCAGACGCGACCCGTAAACAGCCTCTCGTCCGGTGAACGAACCCAGCAGAATCTCTCTCATCGCTCGGTTGTTTCAGGTCGAAGGAATGCGACGTGGTTCACGGCGAGTGCACGCAGACCTACGTACCGTACCTGTTTCTGGTGATTCCCCTCGGTCCAGTGACCTTGACCGGCCAGGATTACGTTCTGGTGGAGAGCGGTTGCGTCTGCAAGCCGAGAAATTCGGCGAGCGCGTCCAGCGACGCGCCGCCAGCTGTTCCGGCCTTCTAATCGTTCAAGTCCACGAGTCACAAGCATCTCTGATCGCTTTCTCGGGACGCGACAATTGTACCCGGACGCCACGGTGCGGAGTGATTTCGGTCTACAATCTCATCGATGCGATCGACCCTAGAGTGCTGTTTCTTGAGAGAAATCTCTTCGGTAAGATTGTGTGGACGCACACACCAAACCAATCTTGCGATTGGTCTCTTTAATTTCATCGATTATCAGCTATTTCGCAGACTTCAAAATCTAACATGTTTCTTACTGATTACTTTGATTTCTCGAAAGAAGTACTCGTAGCGAATGAATTACCCTTGGTCGTAAGTCGCAGTTGCCCTTGAACTGTCTCGCGTTCGGTCAGTTTCTGGGAGCTGGACGAATGACAACGATGACGAGAATCCGTCGTCTGACACGGATAATAAGACTGTCGCAGTTGATGGATCTCGTCGACGATAAATATCTCTTTCAACGAATTTACATATCGTCCTTTTTTAAGAAGCTGAATACCTGAATACTTGTAGGCTGGCATACACTCGGCGGATGAGTCAAGTCGGTCTCTGCTCATTTATGTTAGTTACACTCTCGAGCCGTAATTTATAAAACTCGCCCTTCTAATCGCGATCTGCTGACGGGTAGCCGGAGTGTAAGGACCATTTTCGAGCATCGTCCTCCCTCCGCTCTCATCTTTCTTCTGTCTTTCTCGTGCCAAAAGCCTCGGCGGGACACATACTGCCAGCCGGCAAGTGAAAAAGCAAATCGGGGCAGCGGCCGTTTCGCGGAATCCGGTCTCGGAATTCGATCGAGTTCACTAGACTCGCTGCCTCCCCGAGCCGGTTTTGAGCAGGTGCAAATGGCCAATGGTTTCAGCTGAGCCTGGGTGTCCACCGACGCGACGTGACAAACGTCCGGCTCTCTTAAGCGCTACCGTCCTCGTAAAGTTATATCGCGATAAAGTCAACGCGGAACGCGTTAGAATCACTCGAGGATCGTCAGACCCGTCAACGAACAGGTGTTGTCGTACACTTTTCAGAAACATCCCGTCGCGTCAGCCAGAATTTCCCTGTCGTTTCAAGATTAACGACCAAATTCTCATGTCCACGTCGCGCAAAGACAGGCACAGCAGCGAGATTTTACATCTTCTAGAGCGAATGTAACGTTTCTTTACGATAATTTTAGATTCTAGGTCGCTGATTGTATCTTTATATATAGTGTTAAATCTGTCTAATGTAAAGATTAATCTGAGAATAACATTCCGTGTGTTATTTATATGTACAACCTTCTCTCTGTCAATTTATACGAATCTCTTGGACGACACGCGAGGTATTGATCAAGATATCGAATCATCGAGCTAGTACAAAATCAAAAATGCTCAAGGAGACTTGCGTATCTTTTCCTATTTAACACTCACGTTTCCCATAACAATTATAGTAACACCGGTAGTAAGCGGTTCATTTACTGGGAGTATGTCATCATGACTCCAGCTCCAGCCTGCTGACCCAGAGAGAGAGAGAGAGGGAGGGTCAAGATGATCGTACTACTTCCTGCCCCGCTTGCGTTACACGCGAATCTCCCCCGACGCGAAAGACTATCGCCCCGTTTACGCCGGCTCCACGAAGAAACCGGACCTCGTAACAAAACCTGCATCGCGACGGGCGCACATACGTCGAGAATAGAGCGTACCGTGAATTCCGATGAGTCCCGTAATGTACCGTTATCCGTCGGTTTACGGGTCCCCCTCACCCGGGCATCTCTCGCCGCTCGCCTGCCCGCTCGTCATCCCGCCGTAAATGAAGGCGGCGAGATGAGCGCAGCAGCCAAAAGTCGGGGTGAGCGAACGGGGGGGGAGTTTTTCTTTTTACCATTCTACACGGGGCTCGATCGTGGATCTTTTCCTCTAGTGTCAACTATTTCACTGACAAATATTGAAATCTTGAATAAAATGTTTCACTTTTCACGAGTTTACACTAGACGAAAAGACTCATTCAAATTGACGCGAAAGTGAATCTCTTTTTGTTTTAGCTGAATCGATGATTGCTTGCGTCTATCAATAAGAAAAGAACAATTTCAATACAGATGAATACTTTTTCATTTTCATGTCATTGATAGTAGCAATACGTATTCATGTATTTATAATTTATTATTAGATTGTATACGTCTAGTAAACATTTGTTTCCTTCCCTCCTCCGCTTTTCAACCGTTGCACCAGCCAGTGAACTAATCGGATTCGAAATTGAAAAAGAATTTCAGATCGTTGAAAGATCGTCGACGCGAAGGGACTTAAAAGCACGCGTTAATCAACTTGGAAATGATGTTCAGAGCATTCCTTCTTTGTGTTGCTCGTTATCACACGTACCCTAATGGATTTTCCTGTGCAGTAACTGGCCACCGACGATCGAGATTCCTGAAGCGCCGCAGACGCAGGCACAGGCGAGAGGACGCTGATCGCTTTAACTCGCGCTCTAGCATCCTCTCCTCTATTTTTAGTACGTAACGGTACCGAAAGAGTTGCATACATACGTAAATGCGATAACGAGCCTGAGAAGCGTGGCGAGCAAATAATGTGCGTTCTCTCGGTGAAAATACAGAAAGAATTCATGTTTCCATGGAGTAATTAAACATCAGTTAGCGATACAAATAATTCAATTTTCACGTTGCAAATATTTCTGAAAAATATCATATTTGTTGTATAAGAATGATTTACAGTTATATTCAACGAGTGAGCTCAGTGGGTAAAGGGAACTGATTGTCGGTAATATCGTAATTTTGCGTTAATTCAATATCTACATTGAAAAGTCGGCACCGTTGATATTTGCTCGAAAACTCGTGCTCGCTTCGGTGAATAAATTATACCCAGTAAACACCGAGCATCAGTTACATTGCATTTAGAGAAACGGTGTGCGAAACTCGAAAAATGGCGACCCTCGGTCCGCCGCCGTGAGAAAAAATGTAATAATTGCAGAACGACGATACGTACGTGCATATATCGCTGGCCGCGTTGACGATCGTACTTTGGAGCCGCACTCCGATCACTCCGAGGGGAAGGTGCGAGAAGGCGCGCAAGGCAGCGATCGCACAAGATTTTCATCAACGCATTACGACAACTGCCGCGAGAAATACCGAAAGAAATTCGAACGCGCACATTTCACGCACCGGATCGCGAATATCGCGAATATCGCGACCATCGCGACTACGATCTGAATCTGCCAACGAGCGATATCTCGATTCTCGAACACTAGGAACGCTAGGAACCTTTCCAATTGCTTTAGGGTCTATCCACAGACTTGCACAAGTGTCACAACTTTCCGTCGACTTTTTGCTGTTAGGGTATTATTTTATTATTAATCAGAGATGCTTGAAAATTTAATTTGTCGAGTAAAGCCCGCTGCAGACGATTTTTCCTGCTGGATTGCTTGCGATTTACTAAATTACTAGGAATCCTGAGTGCTGAATGGTGCAACGATAGTAATTTATTAGATTGCAAGCAATCCAGCAGGAAAAATAGCATCGTCTGCAGCGGGCTTAAGATAAATTCTTAAGTACGTCTCACAAAAGACATTTAGCGCGAATGGCCAATCGGCACGCTTGGTAAGTTACTTGAGTGTTTCGACTCTATAAACTTGATGTTCCACGGTTGGTACACGTCATTCGAGTGCAATTGAATGTGAATGTTGCGTCTTGTACGCACGACGAAATTATTTGTATTAGCGACAGACTAGTAGGCAAGATTGGGCAAGATCTCTTTATGAGGAGAAAATGGAGACGTTGTACCACCAGACCAACAAATTAATACAGGAGACGCAGCACATTTTCTCGCAGCTCGAGAGAAAGACGTCCGATGCGGATCTGCAGGAGGTGAAGCAGGCTATCGAGGAGAAAATCAGTCTTGTCAACAGGTAGTTGTTTGAAAATTGTTCTGTGCGACTCCGTGAATTAGCCCTTACTAAATTGACCAAGTGATTGTTTCCCAGCAATTGTGAGCGACTCGACGTGCTATGCCTCAAGGGTCCGGTGTCGCAGAGGCAGAACAACAGAATGCGAGTGGACCAGCTCAAGTACGACAGTCGTCATCTCAGCGCCGCCTTAAACTCCTGGTCCAACCGCGTGATGCGGCAACAGAGGGAGGAGGCGGAGAGGGAGGCCCTACTCGCCAGGAAATTCACCACCAACGACCACGTAGACATTTTCATCGATCACACTGCGCAGCATAATAACAGCTTGCACAATGCCGTCCATGGCATAGATGATCTGTTGTACCAGGGCAGCAGCGTCCTAGACAACTTGAGGTCTCAGAGAATAACGCTCAAGGGTGCCCATAAACGCTTGATAGACATTGGCAATACCCTCGGTCTCTCCAACACTACTATGAGGCTCATAGAGCAACGAGCCAAGCAGGACGGATTTATTTTAATCGCCGGTATCACTTTCACTTGCATAGTCATTGTTCTGGTCATTGTTTACCTCGCTTAGACATTCCAATCGTTAAATTATAGATACCAAGACGAACGCAATTTGGCCAATATTATTTATATTATATTTCACACTAAGATACAATATAGTTTGTATATTTTATCGTAGAGGCAACGTTTCTATTTATTGTACACTTGTATCTAGTAACGATAATCGAATACTTTTAATGGTGAAGAGTATGGAAGGAGTCGTGTAATAATTTTAAGTATGCAATTTATACTGTACAATATAAATACTCCGCAGATAATAACTGTGCACCTTATTGATTCTCATAATTTATTTTGTCACTTGTTTTAGCTGCTTCAAGTAGCTTGTTGTTTCAGCGTAACCCTATATATTTTCATTCTTTTCAGAATTGTTTCCAATACCATGTTACATAAGTATGTATATACATACAATATTGAATGTTGTAATAGAGAGAAAAACAGTATTGATGCAAAATTTTCCTAAGTAGACGCAAGGAGCGCTAGTGCGGGCAAATCTTATGTCCGGCAAGGGATACTTGTCATTGTTTCTTTTTTTTCCATGTTCGAAATAACCTAGCTTATCTTGGCTACTATGAGTTAGCTGATCCTAACCTTTATCTAATCATTAAATGCCGACGACACGTGTGTGAAAAGATTCGAAGGGAGAGTAGGGAAGGTTAGGCGTTCTCGTAAAGGGAGAAGCAAAAAAAGATATAATTTGATCAGGGAGATCTAGAAAATTGCAATCGGTAACAATGGACGAGATGCTAAAAGACGCGCGTTTCGCGCATATTGCAAGAGATCCAAAGTTTTCTCGCATTCCCAAAGCCGAGAGGAAGGTGAAGATCGACCGTCGATTTAAGTGCATGTTTGAGGACGAGAAGTTCGTCGTGAAATATACCATCGATAAGCGCGGTAGACCTGTCAATCGAACCACCACTGAGGATCTTAGAAAGTATTATGATCTGTCGAGCAGTGAAGACGAGGATGTCAAGGACAAGAAGAGCGGAGATCAATCCTCGTCGAGTAGGCAAGTCAAAACTAAGGAATGTCTCGACGAGGATGAATCTAATAAGGTATCCTCAGATAGCGAGGATGGATTTTCTCAAACGGAACTAGATCAAAATAATAAGCAACTGCATCAAAGAAGAAAAGACGAAAATTATGGACTAACGAGTGAAATTAAAGAGAAACTTAAGGATCTTACCGTTAATTATGCCAGAGGCGAAGGTGTTCTGTTGACGGACAGTTCTTCGGAAGAAGAATCGTCCGAAGTTAGCGGTAAAATTTCTTATCGTTATATCTTGAGGCCATTTTTCCCGATTGTTTGGTACACATACCAGAATGTACGCTCTGGTACCAAAGAGTCGCCAAAAATGCTTCAATCACTGCAGTATGTAAAGGCGAATCTTTATTTCAATCATATCTATAATAGATACCGAGGACGAGATTGAACATAATTGGGGTGAACTGGACAAAGAAGCTGAAACGACGGATGAAGTGACGAATCGATTAGCTATTTGTAATATGGATTGGGATAGAATACGTGCCGTGGACTTGATGATTTTGTTAAATTCATTCTTGCCCAGCGGCGGACTCATCTATTCAGTTACAGTAATATATCATTCAAAGAATAATTAGTCTATTATCTATTTATAAGTTTGTCTACTAATGAATCATTATATTAATATGTTGATTTTGAGTATATCTATCTATTTCAGATTTATCCATCAGAATTTGGTCTGCAGCGAATGAAGGAAGAAGAGATTAATGGCCCAACAGAGCTGAGAAACGAAACTATTGCAAGTGAAGACGAAACTGAACATGATGTATGAAATATCTTTTTGTGTTACAATTTCACGAGTACAGTGCGTTTTCTTTTCTCGTTAACCATTGCGACTATTGTACTTTTTTCGCCCCTTTTTTTTTAGAATGAAGAAGGTGCAAGATATCATATGGAAAAGTTAAGGCAGTACCAATTAAATCGATTGAAATATTATTATGCTATTGCCGAATTTGATTCTGCTGAAACGGCAAACAAAGTATACACAGAGTGTGACGGTATCGAATATGAATCAACTGCAACTAGATTAGATCTTAGATTCATACCAGATGGTATGACATTTGATCAGGTATCTCTTGAAATCACAATATACAAAAAATGTATTAAAGTATTAAGTATATTGGTTTCATACGTGAAATGCTTGTTAAAGGAGCCTAAAGAGACGTGCACTGAGATTCCGGAACCCGTCAAGTACCAACCGAGGCAGTTTGCGACAACAGCTTTGCAACAAGTTAAAGTCCAGTTAACGTGGGACGAAACAAATCCAGATCGGCAAGAGTTTACGCAGAAAGTAAATTCGGGAAAATTGCAAGATATTGATGAAAATGATCTGCAGACGTATCTGGCAAGCTGTAGCGAGGATGATTCAGGTATGATATATTGCTTATTTATTTTTTCTTAATATTATCTTGTGTATATATATTAAACCTATCATTTTTGTATTTCAGACACAGAGGAAAAGAAAGACACAAAAGAGAAAATGGACGATAATTCAGAATTGGAGACGAATAATGATCTAATCGGAAAGTACAAATCTTTATTAAAGAATATTGAAGAAGAAGAAGAGGCAAGGAAGAATAAGGGTGTCGAGTTAGAATTCTCATGGGGTTTAGGCGATAAAGAAAAGGCTGAAAAATTAGTCAAAGAGAAAATGAAAAATAAGGAGGAACTCGCACCTTTTGAGCAATATCTAGAGAAACGCAAAGCAAAGAGAAAAGCTAAGAAAGAAGAGAGGAAGAAGCTTAAGGAAGAAGGTGAGAAAAGCGATTTGGAAGACTCTTTGCCGTCTGATGTAGATATAAGTGAGAAATATTTTGCGGAAGAATGGAAAAATGGTAGCAAAGGAAAGAAAGTTAACAAAGGTAGTGTTGATTCATCGAATGAGCTGGAAGAGCATCGACGTAAAGCCGAATTGGAGTTGCTTTTGATGGATCAAGAGGAAGACGGTAAGAAGCACTTTAATATGAAGCAGATCGAAGAAGATGCAACTATGTCCAAGTCTAAACGAAAACGTCTTAACAAAAAGAAGAATGTACAAGAAGAAGCGAAAGAAGACGATTTCGAAGTTGATGTTAAAGATCCAAGATTTGCCGCTTTGTTTACGTCGCACCATTTCAATATCGATCCTGCGGATCCGCATTACAGGAAGACAAAGGGCACGGAAGCTCTAATTAAGGAGAAATTGAAGAGAAGAGCCGATAACGAGACACGCGAGGAAAAGGTGAGTAAAGGGACCTCATCTGTTAGCAGTGATTTATACATCCTTTTAATGCATATTGAAACTTTCAGGACAAGCAATCTAAAAAGCCAAAAACAGACGGGAAACTACCGACGGAATTACAAGCTCTAGTTAAATCTGTTAAGAAGAAAACACAGAATATTACACAGCCAATAAAAGGATAGAATACTATCTCTGTATTAGTTTTAACTATTAATAAAGAAAACTATATAAACTTTTTATTAACGTGATATACGCATTAATTATTTCATTTTTGAATAATCATTTAGAAACTACTAATAATAGAGACTAAATTGTATAAAATTTGTCTTTTTTTTCTACACAAGATGTGATAATTTTAGTATTTGGATGATATTTTCTCGAGAGATGAAGGACAGGATCTTTGACTATTCAGATCCATTGTGTGTATCGCAATGCCCCCTGTGTGCTGTGCACATGCCATTAACTGCTAGGGACTTTTCTGAGCGACCGTCGGGTTTGGAGCGTAAGTTGGCGTCAGTATTTAGTAAATGCTTTACGATTTGGCAAAATATATTTTCAAAAGCGTAAAGCATAGATGCTTGCGTATCGATCCCGTCTGTCCGAAAGTGAGATAAGCTAACAGGCGGCAGGATATCTCGGCCCGAGTTACGGTCCATTTGTGCGACACGTGTAAGTCATTGGGGGAGCGATTCCTCGGACGAGAGCGTAGGGAGACATTGGTTATGTTCGCCGCTAAGGCGAAAACAAAATTGGATAGCGATGTAGCGGTAAGTAAGACTGGATCCGGTCGTTCGCGCTGATATCGCGGAAACTTTAACGCACGGTGGCACTTGCAGTGACGAGGCACACCTGGTTTGCACGCGCGGAGAGTTATTCACGACCGACTGGCACGAAAAGTCCGCATAAATGTACGGTGGCGGCGGCTGCGGCGGCGGCGGCGGCAGCGGCAGCGGCAGCGGCGGCGACGGCAGCGGCAGCGGCAGCAGCAGGTGTAGCAACGTCTCCTGCGCGGAACGTCGAGACAATGTCCGACGGTTCTAAGATGGGCCTGTTTGGCTCCAAGGACCGGAATCAGGAACAGAAAGAGAAATCTTCCAAGGACAACTCCCCAGCCCGTTATGCGCCATACGGCGTCGACAGCGACACCGAGACCTACGACACTGAGGCCCTGAGCATGATGGATATCAACGATATCATCGGTGTGCAATCCGGCGAGCAGATCGGCGACTCGACTCTCGAGAGCGAAATCGCCGCTCTTTCGCAGATCATTACAGAATCCAAGATAGAGGACTTTAAGTCAGTGACGCAAGAGGATTCTTCCGAGCATCCCACTTGTAGCACTGTCTCTATCGCGGGCGTTCCTAGTGCCGACGAGTTGAGTACTGTGTCTGAAAAGTCTACAGATATCATCGGCGAGATGCAGAAGGAGATGGCCGATTTCATTTGTGATAGCGCGGAAACGGACCGTACAGTTAAACATGATGAAGCTTCCGACGTGAGTACTAATGAAACGGTTGCTGATGCACCCACCGTTTCTACATCGGAATCGTCTTCCACTGACAAGTCGCGCCTTGAGACTTATTGGTCCGAGGCTGTCACGTTGACCGGTATTTTACAGAAAACTCTCCGGAATGAGCAGACAAGTGTTGCCGAGAAGACGGAAGATGAGATAACCAAAGGCGGTATAAGGCCTGTGGTAACGGTCGGCAATATTAGCAAGAGTTTGCAATTGATAGGAGAAGCATATAACTCTGAGGATTCGGAGGAAACAGACGTGAACGAGGGCGACTCGCCAAAAGAGACTCCACCACTTTCTCTTCCTAAAGATACTTTGTTGCCGGATGTTTTTGCGAAGCAGCAAGACAATTCTGAGGTAACTCATGTGCTGGAGCAAAATACTGAAAACTCGTCAAAGTCAAATGACACTGCAAGCGCGTCTATTTCAGAAGAATCGTCGCAACATGTTTTGCAAGACGACACTACTGTAAACAAAGTAGCAGAATGTCTTGATAACAAGTCAATTTGCAAGCAACAAAGTGGAAATGATACTGAAGTAGAAATGGACACGACTGAGGAAACAGTATTAAAACATCAATCTTCCAATGAAACTTGTAAAGAAACCACGGGTACATTTATCGATAGACCTGCCATGTCGCCAATGCAAATAACGAAAGATAGGGAAGAAAATGAGGAAAATACTCAAGTAGAATCAGCCGTTGTTTCTGATACGGAAAAGCAAGAGAGTTGTACAATTTATAGTGAAAAAGAATTGCTAGATACAAGAAAAATAAGTGATGTGAAAAACGTACTCGAATGCAAAGATGAAGACGCCCTTTCAGTATCTGCAGATAAAACTCGAGAGTCTACCTTAACCGAGATACCTGATACGGAATTGAATATAACAGAAGTGACAAAGAAAAATAATGATTCTCAGGATGCCATCGATGAAAGCTCTCAGGCAATACTCGAGATCGTTTCGATAACGGATAAAACTATTGACGATTCCCAAGATACAGGTTCTACAGAAAAAAATGTCGAAAAAACTGCTGTAATTTCTGACAATCAATTAGTGGATGTAGTTAATGCTAAAGAAATCTCTGTGCCAATGGACAAAAGTGCACTTGAAATTATATCAGATGCAATTAATAAAGAATTAAGTTTATACAACGAAGCTACGTCAATGAATCGTCCAGATATTGAAGAGAAAAATGTAATGGCTAATGTGCAACCTGCAGGCAGTAATTTGCTCAGTGAAGAAAACTCAGATTTGTGCTCGAAAAATATAATAATCCAGGATGATCCTGCTAAAGTTGATAATTCGGAAGAAACAAATGTGCAAGAAAATATTGTTGAGCAAATACTCGAGACCTCAGTTGAGCATGACAAATTTGTTAAACAATTTCCATCTGTGTCAGAAAAAGCTCAAGTTAAAGGTATTACATCTAGTAAATTGGACGAATTACATTCGGCTCCAGTCTCGCATGAAGATTCAAGTAACACAATTGAAACTATAAACAAGTCCGAGGCTGAAGAAGCAGAGGACATGGAGAAGAATATACCAGAACCTGGCAATAAAGATGAAAATGATATTCCATCGAGGGAAAATGAACCACAGCAATCATGCATTCAAGAACAAGTCGAGTCATCTGTGCAAATGGAAGGTAAGTCAACTTTGGAAAATGTTATCCTTTCCAATGTATTGTTAACATTAACTGAAAATTTGATTGTTGCAGAAGACGATGTAACGGATAATGCTTGTAATATAATACGGGAGGCAGATGAAAAGATTACTGCTCAAGTGAGCGATACAGCAGTGAAAGTATCAGACTTAAACGAGGTAAACATGAAAAAGACTGAAAGGGAAGACAAAGGTCATGAAATGAGTTTGGATTTGGAAAGAATAATTCCGCGGACAAATCCAGAGAGTGTCGACTCACAAGACGATAGAGAGACGAAGCCATGCGAAGAAATTGCAAAATTATCCACGGAATCGAAAGAATCGATCGAGGTGAATGTAACTCCGACAACTGAGGAGAATAATCTGGATGGAGTTGTAGAAGAATCTACCGATGCCAATGTACAACCGAACACGATTGATATTTCTCTGCTACAAGAAAGCTCGAATGAAAAGATGAATGCGAAAAAGTTGACGGAGAAACTATCTCAAGATTCGGAAAGTCTGGATGCTTCAGCTACTGCTCAAGCTGTAGATGCTCTGGAAGGACTTTTGGACATGACTCTTACGTCGGACAGTGAAAACTCGTCGTTAAAGGACATGAAAACTGAAGATAAAGCTTTAATGGAAGAAATAGTAAGTAAAAATATTGATATGGATCTCTTGTTAGATCAGGCAAATGAAAGCGACGCAACCATGACGCAAAGTTCAGACTACATAACAAACGTGATTGCCAGTTGTTTGACAAACAGAGATAATGAAACGAGCGAGGCTGATATGAATATACCGAGTAACGATAAAAGTACCGAAAACGAAAATAGTAGCCTGAGACTGAGCGAAGATGCGAGTACGGAGCCGGTGAGCGAGACGGCGGATAATGAAAAACTGGAAGAATCTCTCGGAACGGATAGCAACCTGCAGCAGAACGACTTGGACATGGATTTCGGGAGCAACCGCTTGGAATCGGCCGATTCGGAGGAGAGTGAAACGAAGCTCGAGTTGCCACACATTCTGCTGGAGAGCGTGCGAATGAGAATCTCGATGCCGAATGAGAATCTCCCTCGACACGCCGACATCCCGCCGACTGTCATCGAGAATTCGCAGTCGAGCTCGGAGATCTCCGAGTTGGAATCCGCGGTCAAGTTCTTGCAAGAGTCCGAGGAGCAGACGATAGACTCGCTGGTGCTCTCGCCGAAAATGGTGGAGAGCGTCGTCGAGGACATAACGAAGCAAGCGAACGCGGAGCTTTACGTGCCCGACGAGATGGTGGATAATTACGCGAACGCCGAGTCCGAATTGGCGCAGCTGAGAGATGCCGCCGCCGCCGCCGCCGTCGATTCATTCTCCATCTCGGAAGCCGAGATCATATCGGAGGCCGCTAAGCTGGAAAACGAGCGGAAATTTGCAGCGCAGATGCAGAACGTTCCCAGTATCGTTGTCAAGGACACCGAGGAGGTGAGCGCGGCAACGGAGGATCGCCCCAAGACTTCACCCGATGCAATTTCTGCCGCGGATAATTCCTCGAATGTGCAAACGATGGAACGATCGCGCGAACAAGTGGGGACTGAACCCGACGTCAGATCGAGCGAAGGTATTCTGAAGGCGTGCGAGCTGATGCCGAGGGTGTCGATATTGGAGGAACGACTCAAGGAACCGCCAAAGATCGAGATACCCGTGCCGGATTCGGCCAAGGTGCTGGAATCCTCCATCAGCCCGAACGATAGTCTTCTCATACCGAAGGACGCGAGAGCTGTCGCGTACTCGAGGATGCTGGAGTCGCCGAAATCTGCCGACAAAGTCGAGCCGCGCAAGGACTCGGAGAAGCACTCGGACTTGGAGAATGTCGGGTCGCCGAGGATAATCCTAAAGATCGCCAAGTCGGCGATCACGGACTGCAGCGAGCCGCGATCGCCCAAGAGCCCGAAGATCCGATCGGCTACGAATTCGCCGAATCCGGAGGACAGTCCTGGCCAAAAGTTGGGAAAGATTAAATTGAAGCTGTCGAAGGGAGGCCACCCCTCTATAATATCCAACGAGAATCTGGACGAGGTCAATCAGTGGCACACCACTGATAACACGTCGTCGTCATCTCCCATCGGCATGAAGATCAAGCTGTCGAAATCCGGCGACGCTTCGATCGTCGCCACAGAGAGACACGAGGGTGCGGACGACGCGAAGGAGAGTACCAAGTACAAGATCGAAGAGCCGAAAAGAACCGACTCGCCGATCGGTATGAAGATAAAGCTATCAAAGTCTGGAGACGCCTCGATCATCTCCGATTCCAGGCAACAAGATACCAAAGAAGCTCTTACGAAGCACAAGGAGAAATTGGAGATACCGCAGGGCAGTCCGAAAAGGACAGAGTCGCCAATAGGGATGAAGATCAAGCTCTCCAAAACTGGTGACGCTTCTATCGTTCCGACCGATAGGCAAGAGTCTTTAGAAGAGCATAAGGAAGGTGCGCAGAAGCGAACCGATTCTCCGATCGGCATGAAAATTAAGCTGTCCAAGACCGGTGACGCGTCCATCGTATCTCCGGATGTTGCCGAGGATTCTTCGACGAAGCTGAAGGAAAAGCAGGACTACTCGGCAGAACTGCCCAAGAGGACCGAGTCTCCGATCGGAATGAAGATCAAGTTATCCAAGTGCAAAGGCGGCGCGTCTATTATCTCTATGGACAGCGCTGAAGATACGAGAGACAAATTGGAGGTACCCGAGCCACCTAAACGCACTGAATCGCCGCTCGGTATGAAAATTAAGTTATCCAAAACCGGAGACGCGTCTATCATACATTCCGAAGTTACGGAAGACACGAAAGAGACGAGACACAAAGACAAGCCCGAGACATCGCAAGACAAGGCAATCCCGGAGTCCTCCGGGATCAAGATCAAGATGAGGACAGTCGAAGCGGCATCGTCGGTATCGACGGACGTTACCGAAGAGCTAGATGCGTCCGAATTATCCACGGGCAGCATTCCGAGGATCAAGGTATCCAAATCTGGGGATACAGCGTCGGTAGTCTCCAATAAAACGGAATCAACGGAAGAGTCGAGATCACGGGAAGGTCAAGTAGACGTACCGAAGAGAACGGAGTCACCGCTTGGTATGAAAATCAAACTGTCCAAGAGCGGCGACGCTTCCATCGTGCAGAGCGAAGCTGAAGAGCATCCAAGTAAGAGTACGCGTCTACCCGATGTGGAATATTCGAAAGGCGGCGACTCGTCCCTCGGGATGAAGATCAAGCTATTCAAGACGGGCGATGCTTCGGTAGTGGAGACACCGTCTTCCGGTTCTTCCGAAAAGAAGGACAAGCAGCAAAGACGCAGCAGGGACACTGCCGAATCGCCGCTGGAGATGAAGATCAAGCTGTCCAAGACCGGCCACCCCACTATCGTAGCCTGCGACAGTCACGGCGAATCCTCCACGCACAAAAGTAAGGATTCAGCGGCTCTGGATCCAGCGATAAGTTTTCCTCACAGGCATATGGAGCATGCTGCGACGCATAAGGAGTCCGCGTTAAAGATTCTCAAAGCCGGCGGTCATCATCCGTCCATTCTGCAGAGCAATCGTTCCGAGCTGACGATCGAGCCGGTGCAGATTCAGAGCAGAAAGCAGACTCCGGCGGAGAGTGGCCAGCAGCAGCTCGAAATCTCGCCCAAGCGTAAAGACGTAACGATCTCGCCGGTTGAGAGCAAGAAGTCCAAGCTGGAGGCGCAGCTCTCACATATCCTGCCGGAGGTCACCATCCAACCGGTCATGTGTCGGGATCAGAAACAGCAGCAGCAACAGCAGCAGCAGCAGCAGCAACAGCTGTTGTTCGATCCGAAGACGAGTCTGATTAGTCGACAGCAGATGAACGTGATCAATCAGGAGATCAGTATTACACAAGTACGGCCAGACAACGCGGTCGACAAGTTCAAGGATATCATGTGCAAAAATTCGCCCGGCGGATTGTCGGATTGCGAGATCATCGAGCATCGCCCGGAGCTGATAATCGTCAATGAGAATTCAAACTCCAGCCAGGATGTTGTCATCATAGAGGAGGTGGCACCTAACAAAGTGGCCGATATCAAGGTGCCGAAGAAGAGAGGCAGGCCGCGTAGAAATCCCGCTGCGGTCCAGCACCCACCCGCGCAAATGCTGATGCCTAGGGATCCCCTGGCTTTGGACGAGGTGCAGCAAGTTCCCCAACAATTTGAACACAGGGAAAACGAGAGACCTAAGAGAACCTGCAGAAACCAGAAGAGTTACGCTCCGCCCAAAAGAGGCAGAGGAGGACGAGGTTTGTTTCACTCGTAATCAATATGTGTGCATACGCTTCCATAAAACTACATACTTTGATATGCCACCCGTAAGTTTCTTCGATACGGTTGCGTTATTAAGTATATCTCACATATTCAACTTCTGTATTTGCGTTCACTTAACTTTTCAGATTCTTTGCTGTCACATTTAATGGGTTAAACTTGATAAGGACCAGTATTACTGGCCGAAACGTCGTGTACTAATTAAAATATATTGTGCCAGTTATTGTCGATATAATTCTCAAATTTTGTTTTTTTATTTACTGGCGATCCACCTCTTAAAAATTCAAAGTTAAAGATTGTGAATAAACGAATAGGAAATTAATTACATTGTTGACAATCGACATATTAATTATTCTACGTCACATTAATTCTCATGTCAATTTTGCATTTTTTCCTTTTCATCTAATGTTTTGTAATTATTCCGGAATTATTGTGAACGTCTCCAGAAATGCTCCAAAACTTTTATTCTAATATCAGTTGTGCTCGGTTTTGTCCCATATTATATACTTCCTTATTTGCCTAGCATATACGAATACATGTCCAAAAACTTTTTCATACATAAGTCCTTGTCGCTGAAATTGACTGAAAAATTGGTAAACTAGAAGGAAAATTTTACAAATTATACAGTCAACAAATAAGAAAAAGTATTTTCCGTTCCAATGTTTATAGATGTTGTGATAATTCCTCTTCTTGATAAAAAAATATTCATTTTTCCTTTGTTATATCCAGGTCGCGGTAAACGGAAACTAGATAATGTGGAACCTCAAGTTGGAAAGAAGACTCGTGTAAATCAAGACTTATCCGCCATTGAGGCGTCAACAACGGCTGTCATTACTATCGACGAAACACCAGTACAACAAGAGTCACTTCAGAAATCTTCAGAACTGTACAAGGCGCTGAAACAACCACCCATAGATCGTAAGGGGAAAAAGGATTCTAAAAAAGACTCGAATTCTGAAATTGCAATACTAGACCCTGCCAGATTGTCCTGCATTCAGGAAGATTCGACAAAGGCGTCTACGAGTCAGGACTTGAAAGCTGACGACGATCAGCATAAGAAACCGGTGTTAGAAATCGTTTCTGAGAGGATACAGAAGTCGGCGGTGAAGCAACATGCCGAGAATAAAAGTAAGATGTCGGATGGGATTAAGGAGATACCTGTACCTCCCGGACATTCGAATTGGCTAACACCAACGTCGAAGAAGCAAGCAGATTCGACGGCCATCAGAGGCGAAACAGTGTCGACGGTGCAAGTGATCGACGAAGAAACAAGAATGAGTGCCGAATCCGGCTCAAGGTCCCAAACACCAGCTAGAAATATACCAGCACCAAGTACGTATATGCATTGATAATATATTAATATTGCAATATTCATTGCTTTAACTCACATTACATGTTTTGTATTGTACACAAGTTATGTATACAAGTGTAAATGTGTGCTGTTATATGTAAATATTATCTTTTAATAGTATAATTTAATATCCCTTATTTTATCAAATTTCTACATTGATTCTACACAGGTGAAATTGCATTAAAATAATATGTCATTTTTATATTAATAATATGATTTTTTTGTTAATTATAAAAATTTTTACAAGAAAAATCTCTAGAGAAAACTTTTTATTTTAATCTTTGAAGAGTTGGTTGAATTGAATGTATTGGTACACATCCAAAACTTCAAGCTAGCTAAGAATAGATCTTTTCTTGTGGCTTAAGATGTCTCTCAAGTAACTAAATACGAAATTGTAATGATGTGCTCGAGGCAGTGTACATCATTTCTTTTATTTACAATATGTGTTGCAATTATGCTGTGCTTAGCAGCGCTAAAAGCGCTCATATTAATTCGTATATCATCTATATAAATGTACATACATACCTGTTTGTGTTTCAATTATATATTTAAAAGGCATTTTTATGTGTATGTGTGGTTGTGTCGATATCATCTGACATTTTATAATCTCAATCTAATTGTAAGTTGTATTGTAAGAAACATTTTCTGTATTTAGAATTTTTATTCAAGACATTCAAACCAAGAAATAATTAATAGAATAATATGTTATAAATTTACCAATTTATTAAAATCACAATAATAAAATAGGAATCTTTTATTACATCTATCAATATCATAATATTGACACGAGAGAAATATGTAGGAGAAAGCTGCTAAAAATTATGTAAATGTAAAATGTTTTTCGTTTACTTGTCAGTTAATCTACGAAAATTTGCATGAAAAGCGATAATTTATTTTGACTTTTTCTATACAGAAATAAATTTTGTTTACAGCCTCGGAGACAATAATAAATGAAGAGTCGCAAGGTAGTGTCTTGAGCACTGCTACAACAGAATCAGAAAAGGTCAAAGTAAAGAACCGAAGGATGGAGATTAATTTTGATCCCGATGAAGGACCTTTCACTGTTGATAAAATAGCAGAATACGAATGGCCACTAGATCGAAAGGGTGAAACCTTTATGATACAAGAACAGATATCACAGTATCTTGGTGTCAAGTCTTTTAAACGTAAATATCCTGATCTCAAACGCAGAGTAGTTGATATGGAAGAGAGAAATTATTTGAGAGAGAACGGATTAGTCAGTGAAGCAATGTGCGATATGGGTAAGTTTATCTTTACCCTTTTTTTTGTGTGTGAAAATAGATTTTTAAATGATGTAGAAACAAAGCTCATTACTATCTATCTAATTACTATCTAAGAGACTTAACATAAAATCGGAAGAATAATTTGTGTCTACAAATTGAAATAAAAATAAAAATTGTCAGATTTTAAAATTTCTTATACCGTAATCTTTTACTCGCATCTTATATATTTTAGTATTAGTAGTAGTACTTTTCTTGCAAAATAAAAGTTGAAATAAAAAAGCTATAAATACAATTGAAGAATTAAGAAACTGCAAGTTTTGTTTCTTCCATTTTATACGTACACATGTTATATTATTATGCATTTACATTTCTATATCATTTACACAGGATTAACTGCGATATGCAGCTCAGAAGTACTGGACGTAATGTGTAGTGATTTTCCCGACCAGTACGAAGAATATCGCAAACACATGCGCGAGAAACAAGTCAAGGAACATTCCAAGAAGCAGAAGGAACTGACGGCGGCAGCAAATGCGGAGAGAAACAGGATAGATCTCGCAGAAATGGCAATACAATCCGCATTTGCGTGGAACGCTAACTTAAATAAAGCTCGGAAAGAACAGCGCAAATACTGTTTAGATCTGCAGACTTTCACGATTCATCAACCACAGAAGCAACACAACAAAGTCGATTCAGAGCACAAAGTGGGTCATTATCCAGTTGCTCTGATACCAGGACAGTATACCGATTATTATCGGGAATACACACCAGCAGAATTGAGATACTATCCGCTGAATACTGTCTTGTATGGACCTACACGGCCTAATGAGCGTAAAAGTGATAGTCAGTCGGAAGGTTCTCAGAGTGACAGCGATAGCGAATCGTCTTCCGATGACTCAAGGTTGGTAGCGATATTATAAAATGTTATATTATTAAATCCCCTGTTTGAACTCCTAATACAAGTACAAGGCCTCTAGAAATAAGGATTTCTATGAGGAACATAGGGCCTCGTAGAGATTTCAGTAATCCACAGAATTTTTACACGGAGATGATTAGCACTCGCTTAATTTTTTTAGCGTTGAACTTCTCTGTATATCTATATAGAAGGCGTAAGATACTCTCGGAAGGTTACCACTTTTCTCCGAGAGGTAGCGATCGAATAAAAACCGACAATTTCTAGTCGATTTTGAACGCGGATCTTCGGCTCATTACAGCAGTCAATTTTAAGTTTTAACATAAATTGTACATTTGAATTATTTTATAAAGATGCTGACATTTGCACGCACTTTTTTTTTCAAGCAATTTAGAATTTAATCATACAATACTTTTGATAATTATACTAATTAATAGTACTAATTAATGGTAGTTGCCACTTCTCTCCGAGAGAGAGGGAGAGAGAGAGAGTGCCCGAAAAAAGCAGTGCACTTTGCACCACGCTCGCCACATTCATATCAATTAGTAAAGTAATATTTACTTATAATAATATAAACAAGTGAAAAGGTATATTGTATAATGATTGTATGCAAACAGTTCGTCCTCCAGCGAAGGTACGCAAGATACGGAAGGGTCACAATCGACCATGGACGAAGTGGACATGGAAATCTCAAACTCAAAGGATGATGCAAAATTGAAATGCAAGATGTGCCTGAAAGTCTTAAATAAAAATAACAAGAACGAAATATTAATCCAATGTGGTACTTGCAATGGAAACGGTAAATATTGTGCTACGAATTAAGTTACATTGTAACTTGTTACAGAGTTAATCATGGCCGTTGTCACTTTCAGTTCATCCATCCTGTATAGATTTAACATTGGATATGGTACCACACATGCAATCGTATGCGTGGCAATGCACCGATTGTAAAACGTGTGCGCAATGCCACGATCCCGCAGACGAAGACAAGATGCTTTTCTGTGATATGTGCGATCGTGGGTGAGTTGTATTGTATTTAAAAGCTCGATACACATTACAATTTATACAACTCAGAACCTGTAGCTACCTTTGGTGCCTGTTTTATTAAAAAGGATACTACATGTAAATAAAAAGTGGAGTTTTTTTGCATCTAATGCAATTTGATTGCATTGCCGCGTGTTTTAGGTATCATATCTATTGTGTTGGTTTGCGACGAGTACCACAGGGAAGATGGCATTGTCAGGAGTGCGCCGTATGCGCAAACTGCGGCTCGAGGGAGCCCGGCGGTGCCAATTCGGACCGGAACAGCGTTGCGCAATGGCAGCACGAATATAAAAAAGGCGAGAAAAATACTCGGGTATACGTCTCAACGCTCTGTGTACCATGTTCGAAGTAAGTACCGTTGACCACCAATTCCTTTAAACTACGCTGGGCTTTAAATTGCTTGATAATCTCCATGGCTCACACCATAACACTTTTTCAACATCTTCTCTTTTTGTTGCGTCAGATCTGTACGGAATGTTTAGTGATAAATATATTTAAAATTATTTTTCTTCTTTTTAAAATCTGATTGAATCCTATGACACAATTTTCTAATTTTAAATACTCGAGGGGGAAAAAGCCTCTACAGCCTTAAGTTTTTTTTGTAAAATTCTCTTAAAATCTAATTATAATTAAACGAATTAAAAAAACTGAGATTGAAAAATAAAGATTAATTTATACTTTTTTGCGTTAAAATTTGTCGAAAGATCTGTTTGATTAGAAAAGAAAAGAACCATTCTCGACAGTTCTGCTAAAGAGAGATATCTTTACCATCAGATTACATGAAGAAGTGTATTAGCACGCGACTTTATATCTTTAATTTGCCTCCCCTCCATCTCCATGTACCGAGCACCATCATAATACATAATATACCCTTACCTGAATTCACTAACCACATGATCTTTATGCGATAACAAGGCTGTGGCGAAAGGGTCGCTATTGCCCGCACTGCAGTCGCTGTCATACCACCCAAAGACTCGACCTGGAAGCGAATCTAGTGCATTGCAGCGCATGTGACAAGTATCTGCACTTAGGTATTGACACCAAATTTTCATACGATTCGGTTAGTTTAACATTTTGAGCGCCGAGCACACGCATTTGCATATTAATTTGTACTTTGGATTTCACGTCGGCAAAAATCATTTAGCAAACATTACGCGAGCCCATTGAAAAACTCAACTCGCCCAATGAAATTAACAAACCGGTGACAACATAAATCCACGTAGTATGTTTTTTTTAAATTTCATTCCAAGAAATTTTATTTCGCGTACTCTCTCACGTAATTGCAACAACAATATTGCGGGGCCACGGAGCTTTAACTTTCATCGAGCGCTCAAAGTGTTGAATTCATTGCATGCGTTGCGACTTAGGAGCATTTGAGCATTTGCACGCGCCATCGAATTTTGTTTAATCATCGCTATTTTGAAAGCCATATTTAAATTACTTGCTATTTAGTGCGTATATATGTATATTTGCATTCCTATCTTTTTACTTCCTCTGTCAAATGAGAATCACAAATAACTTGCAAATTCTAGTGCCATAGTGCGAAAGTGCTTGTAACTGGATTTAACATATCTTTATTGTTTGATCAATGTCCTTGCTTTTTTTTCTTGTTAACATCATTACTTCTTGGTGTGATACTTGTTGTTTTAGGTCATGAAATAACGAATCTTAAAATAAAAAGAATGATCTGCTCAAGACAAAAATATCTCTATGCAACTATACTGTCGCGAAACGTAATATATTGGTATATAATGTACATACATGTGACCATACGTCATTTCTTTCAGAATGCGTGGAGACCAAGGGAGTAGTGGTTGATAAGAAAAATTATCTATGTGATTTCTGTACACCGTCGACCAGCCAGCACGCGGTAAAGCCTTTAACGTCGAAGGTGCTCAAATCGTGAATATGATTGTTGTAACATTACCGTAGACGAGGAAAAAAATATTAAGCTGTATAAATACTAATAATGCTATTGCAGTGTATATTATATTATATTAAAGTAAATAAGTTTTTTATTGAGTGCGTTTGTGTGAACAGATACGTGCAAGATTTTCTCCTGGAATACTACATGACAAACTAATTACATTGTACATAGCTGCCGATTGAGTCATTTAACTTTTACTTATGGATTTTTTATGTATTAATTATCGCCATATAAAATGTGAATTGTTTAGTAAAAAAAAAGACTGAATGTTTAGTTTCAATGACAAACGTATCAAAATTATGAGATATACCTGTATGCAGAGTGTATGAAAAATCGCGCACTTTCTCTCGATTATAAGTTCTTTGGCAATTTGAAATCGATTTTTATATATCGTAACTTTGTTAAACATTCATTTTGTAACCCTTTTCGTATACAATTTTTTTAAATTAATTTAGTATTGAACCGAAAGATAAGACGTCATTACATATTCATTAAATTACATCGAAATTTTATCATTTATAAAAATATAAATGCAGAATAAGAGCAATTATTTTTCACATACTATTACGAGATTGAAAGCGAGTGATTTTCTGAACGTTCTGTATAGGTAAAGTAATCTATGTAAGAATCGAAATTTCTTTGACCGTATCTGGCAATTTTAATAATACAGAAAATTTATTGCAAAAAATGGCATATGAATTGTATATGCCTTGGTGGTCGAATTGGTTGAGACGCCTGTCTAGAATGAAGGGAGGTCCAGATTCAAACCCTGGCTGAGGTAATATTTTTCGCAATAAATTTTCTGTATTATTAAAATTATCAGATATACGGTCAATAAAAATCACTGATGTTAATTACTGCTGGCGACTTTTAAGAATATTCTCATTCCTAAATTTCTTTGTTTATTGCAATAGTAGTAACAAAGCACGAAATTTTAGAATCACATACAGAGGATAATATATATAATTTATTTTTAATATGTATGAATATGTGTGTGCGTACACACACACACACACACATTTCTAATATATTATATATATTATTTTTCTTCAAAATTTAACCATAAATATTACACCAAGTCATATTTTTTCATCATCTTTATCTATATTCAAAATATTACCATTATTACTACAGTTTTGTTCGTTCCAACAATATGAAATACTATTGGACAAATTTGTGTTCTTGCATTTTTCTCCAAATTATCAACTCTGACATTTCCGAAGAGAAACGACCATATCGGTAAACCATTAATGTCTTTTCTGTCGATACATATATGTAGAACAGAAGGGAAAGAAATAAAATGTGAAACTAACATAAAAAAACTTAGCGATTTCTTAAAAATATATATCATTCTCTTTATTATTTTTTTTTGCGACATAATCTTCAGATTAGTGTTCTGTTGCGGGAGTTAGATGCGAATAAACATCTTTTTTTGCATGTGTTTTTACATACTTATCATAGTATCCACATTTTGAACAGTGCGCTCTTTCTCTCCTTTTCGCTGTCAAAAATCAATTACAATATATTTTTATATAAGATCGTGTTAGATTACGTTGCATTATGTACACATACAGAATAACGATAGTAATTACGACTGTTTAAAAAATGAGCAAGTTGCAAAATATAAACTTTGGCATATCGTTGCATCAACCTTGTATAATATTACGTCAGAATAAATCTTAGTAGAGTTTGTATTGCAATGCAATCTGTACAAGATACTTCTAAACAGTGCGTACGCGCGAAGAATGCAGAGCTGCTGTACCATACATCGAGCTGGCCGATAAAAATTTCTTTTTCTGGCTTCTTTAAGGGCGATACCATTTCCGTGGCGCAGACAATTAACCGATAATACAATTATGCAGCGATTACGGCAGCATTAGTGACAGCGAAGAACATCGTTGTGATGAAATGTGTGTATGCGTACGTCTATATACACAAGTGCTCTGCGTTCCAGCTCGCATTAAATCGTACCGAAGACACCCACGTGGTGTCCTGTAATCTTTTTTTTCCCCCCCCTCGCGACAACAAACGTCCCTTTCCCTTTCCTTCGTTTAGAATTCGAGTAAATGTCGAGTGCTATTTTAAAATGGCTGTGCACAATTTAATGTCGTTTAGAGAAACATCACACACGTTAATTAACATTCCGCACATGATTACAACACCATAAAGTAACGTGTACTTTGAGCAAAAGAAAACGAAACGTCATAGCGTAATCAGCAGTACAAGTCGTACGAGTATTATTATACCTAATGTGTAATCGCGTTGTTAAAGAGCACTTATGCGCTAAACGGGGACGGGCTCACAGCTCAGAATTGCACTTGACCCGTCATTGACTAGTAGTACTCGGTATACAAGATAATATAGCGTCTGTTTCCTCTCGGCTGCACCTTGCCGCTATTTTTCTATTCAAAGAGGAACAGGTTGTATTTTCTGGATTCGGAGGGCTTGCGAGAAGATGACGCGTAAAAGTGCAGCTAGAAGAAACAGCGACGTAACTACATCGTCAGAGTAAATGTCGAGCGAACAGCCGTGTCTCTCGCGCATGAAACGCGAGAAGTACTCAAATACGCCCACCGATCGTCAGTGAAGCAAAATCACATCGGGAATTATTTGCACACATAGGAAAACTTGACGATTGATGCCATCGCGATACCGCAACCTCGCTCCTTCCCTCAAGCAACGTTGGCTTCATAACGTTCGAAAAATTGAGCGATAGCTGCAAAAAGATGCATAAAGCAAAATTGCTATTTCGGAAAAAAATACTCAAAAATTCACGCAATTTTGATTGTAATTCAGGGCCAGTAAAATTATAGTTACCTCCGCGCATGCGTGAACATTCTATAAAATTAAGTGGAAAAACTTTAAACACATTTTATCCTTTGATATCAAAATCAAATTTCTTACATGTTGTTTTTCCAAGCATCAATTTTTTTTTAATCCTAAATGTGCGCTCCAATTCCGATGAGTAATTGACAGTGTAAAAAATCATTTTGAGTATTACTCGTGCCTAATACCATATATAGATAACAAAGTACTGAAATTGTGTAAGTGAGTAGCCGGTATAACGGTGATGACCAAGTTCTGCGTAGAAAACTTCGATAGGACGTTATGAAGAAACTTTGGGCCCGGAAAGCTGCCAACTTTGTAAAATATTCGCAAATTACACGTTGGATTTGCATTTTGCGAGCCTTTCCTGAGTTTGCACAATAGGTAATCGAAAGCTTCTGACAATTCGTTTGCATTCAGCTCAGTGGATGGCAAACTCGTCTCCGTTGTCAAATTACCAGTCGAATTGGATGAACCTGTCCATAGAAATTTCAGATTAGAAAACAAAAACGTAATGCTTTTGTATTAAATACATTTTTGTAATTTATGAATTGAACTTCAAGAATAAAAAATTCTACGACTAATAATAATCGGTTCAGATTTACTATTATTATTTCACTGATATATTGTACTACAATATTTAACGTTTCTAAGAGTCTTACTATTTTTAATTAACATCTGTGCATTTTAATATTTCATATAGAATTATAGAGAATATATTAAAAAAGTTTGAATGTGTGCTACAAATAAACAATTCATCAAGAGAAACTTACCGGTAGACATGTAGCACACAATTGCCGAAACATTATTTTCGTAATTCCACCTACGTCTGATGGCTATCCTAAAATTAGCCACACATTTCCCTGTTTCCTCGTCTGTAATAAGTAATAAGACATATGTAACAATTATATACGTACATCGCTGGCTTTTGAGTTGACGAGTAAACAAAGAATACTTGTGCTGCAAGTTGTGTTGTAAAGAAATGAAGAAAAAGCTAGATCTCTCTACTCAACTTGCAGCAAATACATCTTTCTTGTGAAAGAAGCTTTGAAAATACTCACATTCAAATCTGTTATTATCCCTATGAGCCCAAACACACCACTCAACTTGAGCACCACGTGGTAAATTTGGTACAACAACGTAATCTACAATAGCATTTCTCGTCCTTCTTTCCCACTCCTTCCTCGCATCTGCTATGTAACTAGAGTGGGTCAGGAAACAAATACCTTGTACTATATCTCGAAGTTTTGCATCCATAGCCTTAACGATGCGATCTATGTGCCTCAACGTTAAACGGCACTGCCGTTTAATGTTCATATCTAGAAGATTCATATTGCCAGGCACCAAAGGTATTTGCCCAGCAACTAAAATAACATCACCTACCTGTAGAGAAAATTACATTGCTTGTAATAAAACAGATTGCTTTAAATTTTTCAATATAAAAAATAGAAAAAGACTAAAGAGGAGAGGTAAATTACTTACACTAATAGCTTGAGAGTAAGGGCCAATATTGGCGGGTGCCCAATGGCTTATGCTTTGAACATGCATTGTGTGTCGCTTGCAGGCCCATTTATCGCCACTCTCTTGGCTCTCCTTATACGCTATCGCGTCGAGCACGATATGTACGTTCAAAGGACATTCTACGCATACACGAACCGGCGGATTTCTCTTACCCAACCAGTTAACGTACACTTCGTTTATAGCCTTGTAATTCGACATATCTTTTATGTACAACGTTACCGCGACTACGTCAGACGGGCACAAATTTTCGCTTTGAACCAGACCTATAATTAGACGAATATCTCGTGTGAAAAAAAGATTCATTTATACCGTTCTCCTATGTCATCAATTAAATTTGGAACCAGTAATAATCGTTAACATTGAATAATTACTAAGCCGAAAAATATGCGATTAAGATGTAAATTTACTGCTTAGTTTTTCCAGTGCCTCTTCCACAGCGGGCGTTACGTCCGGATGTTTCCCTACAATACCGCCGAACCAGAACCATCCTGTTTGATTTCTGTTGACGACCGGCGCGTCTGGGCAATCTTCCTCTTCGTACAAAATCTCCATTAGACTCGGAGGATGAAATTGACCTGTACATTCAGATTAAAATACGATATAAAATTTTACATATATCTTGACACATTTTCTCTTTTTACAATTTTCTACCAGAGTTTGATGCCTTCAAACTATTGCTTTCACACGCATGCTCGTCATTCTCATCTTCTGACAAATTACAGCCATCGTGTAGCTCAGGACCGATAATTTCAGCAATGTAATCCTGTGGCGATTTTATCAAAACACTTTTCAGTCTCTCGGATAGACTTAACTTGTCCAATTTTCCATTCTAAAAGATAAGTCTTCACTTTGATGACACTTGACAGTGTCGTTTACATGTAATTGTCAATGTGATATCGAAAAACTTACGTCCTTTTCCTCCAAATGCATCTTTGCAAATCTGAGATATCCTACAGGCGCTATATCGTCCCTCGAGTTTACCACGCTCTCGTACTCATCACTGTGTCATGAAAAACGAATTGAAGAAGAGTTATTCAGATTGTACGTAAATGCAAACGCATATAATACGTACATTACGATACTTTTGGCAAACAAGGGGCAATCTAAGGTAAAAGTTTCATATTCTCCTCCTTCTCCACACATGTTTACACCATACTTTTCTTTCTGCAAGTAAAAACTTTCGTAAAAAATATATATAAATATATTTCCACATTTTCATTACATAGCTGTATATACATAACAAACAAGATAGAGTATTAGAGTATTACTATTACAAAAACATTTAAGGAATTTTGGCAACAAACATAGAATTAATTAGAAGCATTATTTCATAATTGATTAAATAAGAAACAATATACAGCTTACTATCTTAAGAAGGTGAGGTTGCATGTCACATATAGATTTGCCCAAATGTTTAATTTCAAGGCCTAAGGCCGCAACTTTGATCAATATTGCATTAACAGAGCTCTGTATCATTTCATCTAGTAGCTCATCCTGGTCCCGTCTCCACAAGTATGACAAGGAAATAAGACCTAAACGATTGCACCTGAGAGAATGGGAGGGAAGATTGAGGGGAAAAAATCAAGTTAATATAGCCGCAACCAACAATATTACAGCCTTAAATAGAAGACAATAAATAAGTGATAATTACACATTTTCCACACGAATTCGTTGATAATCACTAAGAATAGCACCGCTTGACACAGCCTCTACATTTTCACGTTCCTGAAAAAATATATATTGGATATATACGTATATGTCTCAGAAAACATGGTAGGAACCAAAGTTAATTTACCTTTACTGTACTCAAAAGCTTAAAAAGATCTTCGACTTCATCGCTTTCCGTAGGGTAATAATATTTCTCTTGCACGTTAGCCTTACCAAACGTTGGATACTGATATATAGGCAAGCCTACAGCTTGAGCAATGTACTTGATACCTTGATGTCCTACCGTTTGGAACATAAACGAATCCAGATCATCTGGAAGCAGTGTGTCAACTCCTGCATTACATCTGCATCCAGTGCAGATTATAATACTTATGGTATAAAAAAATTCAGTGTAACATTTATATAACATTCTGTAGCGACGCACAATTATGCTCCACGCAATATGCGTATTTGTAACTCGAATTACCTTTTCCAACAGGATACAAATTAGCTAGTGCCACAATCTCATGGCCAGCCGCCACACACTGCATCATGTTGAAACAAGAGTCTTTGCCACCACTGATCAATGCGACGACCTTCATCTTTCTATCGTTGATCGTGCTTGGGTCTCTTCCTTAAGAAACAGTTAGGACTAAAATTAAAGCTGATTTATTTGTTTAGACAATCATCTGCAATAAAAGTGAAAAGTAGCTTTCGTATCTGCATATCCTAAGAGATACAACTTTACAAATATATATACGGAGCGCAATTGATGAAAATGTTTGATTAGTAAATCTGCACATTCTAGATCGTAGGTGTACACACAGAAAAATCAAAATTTACGTTCCCAATCTAGTGCATCCTTTTCGCAAGATATTGCATTATCTACATTAATCTAAAGATATATTAAACAAGGTGATAAAAATAAAATGTATAATATTAAACCCCATGGTATGTATATGTAACATGTGTATGCATGACATGTTTACAATTTATGTAATCACGTGGGACGGCAAGATTTTACAACAAGTAATAATAAGGCATCTCAGGCCGTTTACGCAATAAAACAAATTGATAAACTGTTGATTGGGGGCATTTGAGCGCAACGAGGCATAGAAAGTATCGCGCATTGGCAGAGCTGCCGACTGAATGAATGGAGAGCTGCCGACGTAAACAGTAGCGAATGCAAGCGCCGAAGACACGGACACGGGGTGCGCGAATTATTTATTAATATATATATATATATATATATATATGTGTCAGCTAAAAGGAGCGACGAGAGCGAGAGAGAGAATTTATCGCGGGCGGCAGGGGCACGCCGCTGACTTCCCCCGAATCTTCGATCGACACCGGATGTTAGATCGCAACGGTATCGCGATAAAGCGTGGATTTATCGCGCGAGAGAGCGAGGAACCGTGCTGCCCGTGCGGGGCTCGACGGGGCCTTGTTGGTTATCGCGGATACGCGCGAGGTGAGAGCAAACGGCGAGGTGACAGCGGGCGGCGAGCCGCGAACCGGACGATCGCGGCAAAACACGCGGCGGAATTGACTCGGAGTCCTCGGTAAATCTGATATTTACGTTAAATCGGTGGCGAAAAACCTCTCGCACGATACAGTCCAATACAGTCGGCAGCCCATGGGAGACTGATGGGACTGGATTGGTGCCACCACTGCCGTGCTCAGGCCTCAGTGCTGGTCGCCCGCCGTGGCCGTGGACTGTGGCGAGTTGGCGACGGCAGTGTGCGACAACCGCGACGACCAGCGACGGTAGCGCCGCGGCTCGAGAGCGTCGAGCTCGATTGAGGTTAGCCTGGATATTCACGGATTGCGTCGATTAAATCGACAATAATCGTCGCGATCGACTCGTCCTTTCCTCCCGGGCGACCAGGCGACGTCGTTTCGCGCGTCAGAGCCATCGCGTTTGCTCCTCGTACGAAAATCTACCGACAAAACCGACCACGGTGTCGAGAGACTCACGAGTGAATAGTCGCGCGATCGTACACGCCGCGTGACATCATCGACGCGACGGACCAATCGCGCGGGTGTCGCTATGCCACGATTGCTACATCCGTTTTATATACTTACATGTATATTGTTCGGTTTCATTATTCTACTATACTCTATATCTGTACATTCCATATTTAAAAAACGAAACATCTGCTAATTCTTACTTGTCTCTTTATTTCATTGTTCAGAGGCAAAAGATATATAGGTGCAGGACATGGCAGCGCTCGAAAGAAATTTCCAAGATAATATATATATTACACAAGTTAATAAATATTATGTTTTAGTTAACGTCTGGCTTTTGTTATACTTTTTACAATTGTCAACGAGAAAAGACGGATCTCTGATCGTCTATTGACACCCGATGGTCGAGGTATTTCCGGTACTCGTAACGATCATATCGAAGTGCCACGAACTTTAAATATGTACAAAAGGTTTAGCTCTTATCTTGTTTTCGGAACATTCTCTCAACAGCAATATATATTACCTAATGCATCTCCAAGGAAACTACAACGATCGGCGTTTGTAGAAACGATTCACGTATACGGCATGTAATACTGGAAGAAAAATTTCATCAATTGCGACCATCTCTTGGTGCAATAACGTTTTGCTTCCTCATTGCAAAATTATATAATTAAAAATATACATATAAAGACATGTCTGCTTATATATTATTAATACAAATATGCTACATACGATACATAATGAAAATATACTTATATATAATTAGTCGCAATAACATTGAGTCATAAGCAATTAAAGTAATTTTCGCTTGTATGAAAAAATCTCAACGCTGACCTCGCTCGTTCCTGCTGTTCGAAAAACATTGTTTATGCCATCTTTCGAATTAGAAGAGCGAGGCCGCGCGTTTTGCCATTCGTCCATCGCGCGCTCGCACGCTCAACGCATATTCGATGACGGAGTAACACCTGAAGGCTGAAACTTGGTTCGTGGTGGGCAAATCTGATATACGCATGCCCGCCGGTCGAGTATTATTCGAGATAAGAGCGTCAGTTGAGTTTGGTCCCTGCAACGATTTCAGGTTTGAGCTGGGTAGTGTGAGAGAATTATTGCGCGGGGGCAATTAAGAAGCAACGGAGACACGGAGGCGCGAGCGAACCTCGTTGCGGCTTGTCTCGGCTTGTCTCGGGGATTCGGTCCTCCCGCGAGATCGCGCGAGTCGTCGCCACGAGAATCTGGCCGAGCCATTTTTCTGTCGAGCGTGACGCGCCGCCGGCCAATGAGGTCGCGCGTGGTGGCCGGCCATTTTACTTTCGCTACGACCGCGCGGAACGACAGCTGAGGAATCTCTCGGTCGGGCTGCGTACCGTCATGCAGTTTCGTAGAAGATCGTAAGCGAGAGACAGTTGGGTTCTGCCGTGGGCACGTCCAGGCGGTGGCTCTCACCGTTGTTGCATCCCGCCTCTTGCTCGCAGTGTTACCGGCAAATCTACGTGACCCGACGCGTCGCGAGCCCCGATCGACGAGCGAACGTACGCCGCGATGGTCCTGGCGGAGAGGAATTCGGAAAATGTGCGTAACGGCCGCCGTTCGCGAGGCCCCAGCCCCAACGCACAGACCGAGTCGTCCAGCGAGGAGGAAGGAGGTATCGTCGATTTTCACCTTTTCATTCTACCGCGACGTCTCGATCCTCGATTATCGGGACGTTTGTCCCACGCGGGGGTCTTTTCGAGTCAGCAATAACCAACGGATTCGTCGTCCTCTCGAAACAGCCGCGTCCTCAACATCCGAGAGAGTCTTCGGGCAGCGTACTCGTCACCGCCCCAATATTTTTTACAAAATCTCTAACTCTCCTATCTCTCTCGCCCATACTAGACTTGATCTAAAGAGCTAGTCTTGTAGCGACATTACTTTTATATACTCGTATGAAAATCTTGATGGGATACTCACCTAGCAGTAGTCCTCCCTGTTAAACCCTGTTAAACACTAGGCAATTGGAATGCTAAGAAATTTTCTTTTTCAAGTTCCAGCAGAAAAAATTAGAGTTGGACGAGATTATCAGGTCGTCGTGCCAGAATTTGTTCCTGTTAATGGTACTTGACAGTTTTTATTCCAAAAGTGTCTATTTAGGTAAGAAACGATTCATACTCAATCTACCGTCGTTTATTATGTATTTCAGAACGTCGATTGGATCAGTGTCCCGATAGAGCATTATTGGTTTGGTCACCCACCACGGATATACCGGATCAAAAATGTAAGCTGCACATTTACGCAAACAAATTGCTTTATACCAATGAATACCAATGATTAATATTTATCTTGTCTTTCTTAGTGGACGAGTACATTATATTAGCTAAAGAAAAGTATGGTTACAATGGAGAACAAGCATTGGGAATGCTGTTTTGGCATAAGCACAATTTGGAGCGTGCAGTTCTGGATCTGGCAAATTTTACACCTTTTCCCGATGAGTGGACGGTCGAGGATAAAGTACTGTTTGAGCAGGCCTTCCAATTTCATGGCAAGAGTTTCCATCGCATTCGACAAATGGTATGTTTTATGACATTTATATATATTTCAAGTCTCTGGTTTGTATTTACTATGTCCTGTTGAAATGCATTAACGTAGCAAACTAATTACATTCATTCTCAACATTGCAGGACCCCGATAATCTAGTGGTATATTGAAAAGATGTAAAGATTTTTGCAAATTTAGGACATTTAACTCTTTATCAAGTCTTTATATAAAATTAAAGAAGAAATTGTTCAATTTATTTTTGAGATAATTTCATCTAATATGTGACAATTAAAATCGTAATGAAAAATAACCTTTATTTGTAACTAGATTCTTTTCTATCGACAAACTTTCACGTAATTATTATTATAATTGTAATTTTCAAACATTTCTATCGAGTTTATGTTTTGGCTTGATGAATCTATTGATAAGTAACATTAAAGGTGCTTTGAAATAGACATGTACATCAAATATCGTCGAGTTTTATGTATATTGATAGAAAACTTAAACTGAAGAATTGAGAAAAGAGAAGCTATGTGTAAAGAGACATAGTTGTACATGTCATGTATTGATATAAAGGATTCATTCTCGATCATTTTTGCACAGCTCCCTGATAAATCTATCGCGAGCCTTGTGAAATACTACTACAGCTGGAAGAAGACGCGAACTAGAACATCATTAATGGATAGGCAAGCACGCAAATTGACGAGCGGTTGCAAAGAAGGAGAAAACGGCAGTGAGAATGGAAGTGAGCTGGGTTCCAACACAGATAGCGAATCGGAAGAAAAAGTAAGGATTCTCTCAAGATAATTTCAACAAGAAATTTTACGCATGCCGCTCTATTCTTGCACAAGAAAAACTCCCTTTTATCTGTTTTTTTTTTCTTTTCTGTTCATTTTAACACGTAGACTTTTCTCAATCCGCGAAATCAGAGATAGACTAATTTATGTTAAACATAATAATTGTAAAGGACGACTCTGTTTTTCGTGTCTGTGCTATTCATTGTACATATTTTTATGTTGATATCTTTCTCCATCTCTTAATTCTGTAATAGATATATTTCTTCGTGCTTACCACTCTGGCTATTTCGTACGATTACGTTGCAAATAAATATGCTATCATGGCAAATTGGTAATATGAAGAATCATAATTGTTTGAAAACTTGCTGTGTATGTTACAAAAATGTATCCACACGGTAACACAGAAAGCAGGAAAACGAAGCTATGATACCAATGGTCGCAAGAAGCTAGAAAATTGTCATGGATATCTTGCATATTCTAAACATAGGGTGCCAAATTTATAAGTGATAAAGTTCAAAATATATGATGCTCTCTCTCTCTCTTTCGCGTCATGTTGAGATTTAATGTAAATGTTTCGCACGTACAAAATAAAACAACAGTTTAGTCGGTATGTGAACGTAAATGTGGAACGTTCCAGAAATGGACGATCCACCGCGGAATACGCCGTGGAAAGAACCAAGCTGTGCCAGGAAGCCAAGGCACTGACGCCAAGGCCCCATCCGACTCGGAAAACGCCCCTCAGGTTCAGGTACTCAGCCTAAACCTTACCCACTCGCATATATATATATAGTATAGTTAGCTTAGCTTTACTACTGTATTTTACTATCTTCAATATATCACGTATTATATTGCTACACTGGCATATACAATACATATATCTACAATATGTTCTCTTCTCTCGTTAAAATACTTGGTAATATTAAAATTGCTTCGCAATATTAAAGTTTTTCGTCATGTCCAAATTGATAGGCTAAAACCTTACTGAGGAAACAAATTTGAAAATGTAGAATATATTTAGCTCATGAAATTGGCTCGACGTGAATACCGTCGTGAACAGTCGAGTGAATTATGAGACACAAAAATTGACTTGATGTAGAGAACGAAGCACAAATAGCTTGAATAATCTTCCAATTTGTTCTCTCAGCACTCAAAAACGATAAACGATGATGAATTGCAAAAAGGGAGTGGGTAGGGGGGTTATCAAAATTTTTGTCCTAAAAGGGTGTTATGTGTTATAGGGCTCGTGTAGCAACTGTGGCGTTGCATGCCATAGTGTCCGTGCGACGCCCAAGGGACATGCGTGTCATAGCTGCTATCTACATTGGAGGTAAATTAAATGCCAATGCCAGTGATTGCAAATAGATAAATCTTATTCTACGCAATTCAATAAGCACCGGAGAGGATATTCATATGAGAAATAAGTTAGAACCGTGTGGAACTGAATTGACGATTCTTTGATCAATAATACTGATGTAAAGTACTTCTTTTTTTTTCTTTTATAGATAAACGCGTACCCGTGTTTGAGCAACTGAAACTTATGAATATCCTTGGAAACTCGCTTTTTTTATCCCGTAATCGTTTAAAACTATATTTCCATTAGTGGTATTTAGTTGGTTTTAATGACATTCAGATACAATGTAGATTAGTCCCATATTCACATTTTCTTAAAATCATTCTACGTTTTCTGATGGTTTAGGCGCACTGGTGTAGCAAGACCGTTAACTTCCATGCCGGGTCGTACGAATAAAAGAAAACCACCCCGGGGCTTGGTTGTGAATCACGATGATTTAGCAGCTTTGGCTGGTCAACCAAATCAAGCCAACAACAGTTTGCAAGCTATCGACACTGAAATCGTTAGCTTAAAACGTCAAGTATGTTAACAAGTAGAAAAGAAAGACTTGCGATACGACGTGTGGATACATTTTTCTTCATTTTCTATGTAGCTATAACGAATCATGAAAGCATATGCAGACACTCGGGTGTAAAACTGTCAATACTTGAAATATGCTAGACTAAAGTTTTTAAAGAAATATTCTGAAGCAGAGAATACTCTCTCGAATGTTGGGATTGACTCTCGAATGCTACAGTGCTTTCGTGATGCATTTTATCGGTTTTTTTTCTTAAATATCATTAATTATGTTATTTGCATCATCTAAGTTGTTTGTAATGTTACATAATTTATTCGAAATCGCACAGATACAAGCTAATAAACAACAAGTGAGTGCCCTGAAGCGAAAAACAACCGATGGTATCGACCATCTACGACCGCCGGAAGTGTCAAGTCGTATAAATGCCCGCTGGACAAATGATGAGCTGCTGTTAGCCGTTCAAGGCATTAGAAAATACGGAAAAGATTTTGCCGCAATCGCTGAAGTTATTGGAACTAAAACTGAAGCCCATTTACGGTCATTTTTCGTTAACTATCGACGAAGATATAACTTGGATGCAGTCTTAAAGGAGTTTGAGGCTGAAAATGGTCCCATTCTTATCGACGATGAAAAAGAAGAAAAGGTACAAAATACGATGGATCGTATATTTCGATATTCTCATATTTTTGCTACATAACATTATAAAAAATGCATCAAGCATATTATTTTAGTTAGCATAAAATTGATTTGTCTTCAATAAAAATATCAGAAAATAAAAAGGAAGAAAAGTTCTTGTTTTATGAAAATAAGAAAATTATACTATTCTCTAAAAATTATCTAAGAGGTATTGCACAAAAAACAGCATTTTTAACGATAAAAAATTAAACTGATCAGCATAAATTTTAATTAAACTTGTAAATTTTTTATATTTTGCTGTTTAAAGTCTTTTTAAATCAAACATCGATTTAAAGCTAATAATTTAATGGAACTTTCAGATGGATGTTGATCAATCAAATGATACCGCGGAATCATCTCAGAAGGGGAAAACTTCCACTGGGCCTGGACAAGCTGCTAAATAACAAATGAGTATCATCTTAAATACAAAACGGGAAAAGAATAACTGCAGGCTCAGTGATAACAACCTGTAATACTATGTTGATTGATTAACGTTAAGTTTAATCAATTTCTTTTTCTTTTATTTTTAAATTTTACTTTATTGTCTCATTGTCAATCAAGAATGATATGGAACACAAGAATTTACTCTAAAAGAATCCAAATTTAACTGCATAATACATTATTCTCTCTCTATATATATTTATATGTATATGAATCATATGAAGAATATTATTTATGTTACGAAAATCATATGTAATTGCAACAATAATCATATGAATTATCATAATCTGATACTCTTAATAAGTTTTATTGTACTCAAGGCTGACTCAATTATTCTTTTGTATAAAAGAGACTTTATGTACCTTTTATACATAATGCATAACGTATGTATGTATGATAATACATTGTAATAAAAATATATCGTACATATGTATTATACATATGTTAGAAAATTTAATTTCTTACCAAGAGCTTATTTGCAAAATGCTTATTACAATGTGTATTGTACATAGATGCAAATTGTATTTAAAAGTAATTTTTTAATATTATTTTCTTACATATTACATGCCGAAAATTAATTTTTCTCGCTTATACGTTATTTAAATCATAGTATGGATTTGAATCCATTTGTGTTAAAGTGACAATATTAAGTTATTGATCTCATATGAAAAGAGAGATAGACAAAGAGAGTTATACATATATTACTACTATAATAAATTATCAAACAGAGATTACACAACCATAGAAATATTAAGAATTTTATGGACTAAAGAAAGCGTTAAGATGAATTGTGGAGAACATTTAATCTCAGATGTCTTTGTTCTTATCTTTATTATTGTCATGCTTATAGCGAGATTTGCCATGAAACTACCATGTTCTGTGTATCAATTTTGCTGCTTATATTACTTCTGTTTCGGAAATTTTACTTTCATAATAATTTTCAATATTTTCAACGTTCTTTTCTTATTTTACTTTTTGTTGTTTTATAATAGTTGTCTACAATAATGGCTCTTATTCCCAAGATTATGACAGAGAATAGCGACAAAAAACACATAGACACTGACTTGAATAATCTTTCGATTAATTTCTGCATAATTTAAGTATCGTGAATAAGTGTTACATACAATAAAAATATCAGGTACTTCAATTTTTTCTCGTTTATGTGTAAATTACATAAATTTAACGTATCGCTTACATTATTCTGATGCTTGAAAGAGCTTGATTATATACGGGAATAATGTCACAATTAAAATTCTTTAGCATTATGATAAGTAGTAGCCAGAAAAGCACAGGAGATTATATTTCACATTTAATAACATAAATAAAATACAATCCATATTGTAATAGATTGTAATTAAATATTATAATCTGTTATAATATTTAATTTATTAAGATGCGCGCGCGTGCACACCACACACACAACGCACGTTGATAAGAAGTTGTAGTTTGATGAAGAAAGATCATCATTTAGACAAGAAAAAGAATGATGTTCTTATATGTCATAGTGTTCTTACAAATGAATGCGAATTGTCATTATAAAAGATGGAACTTGTTACCATCTAGTGGCTACAATGTATATAGCAGTGTGTCATGAACAAAACAAGATTAGTTTCTGAATGAGGAAAAGGAAATAGTGTCTTTACGAAACGATAATGCACGCCTTCATATTAACATCCAATTTCTATACAAAATCTGAGCTTTAGCTCACAAATCTATTAATAATTTAGGTAGTAATATATAGAGCGCACATTCTACTAACCTTTATAAAATAGCCATTAAATGATGACGTTTTCATGTATAATACAGAATATGTATATTTTGGTGTGTAATAAGGCCGAAAATCATTTTATAATGTTAGTTTTTGTTCAAAAAAATACACGACAGGAAGCTAAAGATTCTTTTACTACGAGTAAAAAAATCTTTGTTAATTAACTTTACATAAAACACCTCTGCTACACGAAAAGTCTACAGTAGTTTAAAAAAATATGAGCATTTTAGCTTACTTGAAATTTTAACAGCTGATAAACTGTGTATTTTCAAGTAAAACAAAATATTAAGTTACTTGATACGGTGTAATATTATACATATGAATGATAAATTCGTTTATATATATTTTGCTTTTTCTCTGTGTTGATACAATTTGATATCATCTCTTTTGAAATATAAATGTTATTACACCATTGGATTTAAATGATATTAACATTTTATAATCAATTAGAGAAGCTGCCCATTGCAGTTAGACTGGACTTTGCTATGAACAATAATAACATTTTGGTGTAAATTTTGTATATTTTATCAACATTTTGTTACTTAATTTATGCAAGGAAGAAATTTCATCGCCGATTTTATTTAAACTTGATTCAATCTTGTTTCTGGATTTCATTTTATCCACAATATCAGCTTTCACAGAATCAACATTCAATACGTTGCCAAGTTTGTCAATTCTTCGCTTCATCGTTTAAAGTTTTTTTTTTTCAATAGACTTCTAATAGAAAAGTTTAGTTTTCATAAAAATAATTACATCAATTTTTTTAATCTAGATTGGCGCAGCGGGGAATAAATTAAAAGTTGCTAATAAAATAGTATTACCTGTGTTATCTGGTGTCGAATAGCATCTATTTCATCTCTTATCTCTGCTACTTTGTTTTCTTTAAGAACTTTTTCCATCTTTTCTATCTTTGAATAATTACTGTGCAGCTCATCAACTTTTATCTGCAATTCTTTTTCATCTCTTCGTATAGTCAATCTACCATTTTGCTCTACCTGTTTCTCTAACGCCCGTATCTTTTCTTCCCCTTTTTTTGTACGAGGCTTCACCTCTGTACATAAAATGTTTGCATAATTTAGCAACGTAGAGAGAAAAAGAACGAAGCAATGTAACACTGATATAAACATACATCCGATTCTACCGTATCGAAATCCCAAACTTGTGTGTAATTTAACAACTGATTGCGACGAACGATCCAATTCAGTAACATTCACATATTCAAGAGAAATCGTAAGTTGACATTATTTTTATTATACATATTTTTCGACGATAAACTATTGTAGCTAATAATTTAAGTAGTTAAATTACATAATGTGTAAAAAAAAGTCTAAATTGAACAATGTTATAGGTAGACAGTGATCCATATAAAATCTAGCTTTAATATATTGATAGCAGTAGTAAGAAGACTATTAAATAAGTATCCGTATATAGCTAAAAGTTACAATATTATTCAAATTATATATCGGCAAATTGACACACGCGCATGTGTGAATATACGTAAGTGTGTGTGTGTGTATAAGAATGAACGATCGCTCATGCGTGCTTTGACAGACCAGTCGTGAGTTGTTTATGTACTCACAAGCAGGATTCGTATTTTCCAAACAGAAGTGAGTCGAGTCTCCCCTCGACATAAGTACAGGGGAACATCAAGAATGAAAATTGCGTTCACCAATAGTGACATATCACGCAAACGCGACAAAAATCTTGCCAATAGATTAAGACGATAATATAAAAATGGAACACCATTTGTGTAATAGCGAGTAAAAATTATGACATTAAAAAAAATTCTATAGTTAGATCATTGCTCAGTATGCGAGGGCGCGCATTATCGCTGTAAAACGCATCATTTTCGCGAAACCGAATTGCAAAGATCTCTGTCATCAAAAATCTTTTGCCAAAATTAGATTGATCCGCACTTTTGCGTGATTGTTTTACAGAACATTAACATACACATATTGCGTTTTATTTATTTTCACGTTAGATTTAACGTTAGATGTTACTTTTAGGTGTAATATTTTTAATAAAACTCGTCGAAAATTCGCCGGAAGAAATGCGACTTGAGTGTGTCAATGCAACGATAAGGCTACATTGACGGTATTACGCTAATTTTTTGTTACAAGATGCGTATGCAGACTACTCTAGGTTTAAGAATCGTTTGTCTTGTGTAAGAAATGAGAATTTCATCAATTTGCTGCTGTATCTAATATATCTGCAATCATTTGAGTGTATCGATATAAAAATCTTTGCTCTCTTGCAATGCGGATATTTACAAATTAAAATTGTCATTATGTATTAGCTGCTACGATGTATATAGCGACCGTGGCGATCAAGAAAGAAATGGAACATAAAAAAAGAGTTCATAGTATATTGTGTATATGTATAAAGAGTGAAATCTATGTTTATACATATTCCTTGGAATATGTGTGTCGCACATTTGGCTAAGTTGTACACATGTAATTATACAGAATTAAATATATCTTGCGCATTGTACGAATAAAACTAATTATTTCTCACATCCTCTTTCAAGGAATAATCTTACATTGCAATCGTCGATAGACGTAAGACAGAACATATTCTGTAATCTCTTTATCACATAATTGGTTTGTCCATTATTCTATATTAAATTTATCTACCTGTCGATTAACGTAATTATATTTTGACCCGCAATAACTACACTTGCCAATTATATGTATATTATCTGTATGCAAGACAAGAATGGAAGTTTGACATATATGAAAAGTCAGTGCTGACCACAATGACTCTTTTATCAATTTAAGAAAATGAAACATATACCACTCGTAGACCATCTAATATAGAGAGAGCTTAACATAGAAGAAACTTCGTTATTTCAAAAGTTTTAATCCCCTCCCGCCTCTCCAGGTTAGTTGGTATTTTACAATTTGAAACCGGGGAAAGCGCATAGTAGATAAGAACTGTACTATTTCCACTGCTGTATAATGACATCTCGCTTTCGCGCTATATAATCAATCTCCTTTAAATACAAGATCACTCGCAGATCGTCGTAATTGAAGCCAGTTTTTTCCTGCAATGTTTTCAAGTACCTCATTTGAATCGCATGTATAATGTCCAAAGGATCTTTGTGACTATCGCCCGAAGGATCGTGAAGAAAGCACATGTTTAAAAATTTCGATTCCTCTTTGTGGAAAATGCTGTCGTTGTGATGGAAGGGATTCTCGATCATCATATTAGAATCGCCGTCTCGGACAGCATGTGTGAAATATCGTATAAAGTCCACGTTGTCGTCAGCGATATGACGACAAGTAACTTGTGACAAAAACCATTGATATATCCTTTCTTCGCATTGCAATCGATGCGGGCGAAAATCATCGTAATCGCGGAACACGTGCGACGTTTGCAATGACGTCGACACGATTTCGCGTATCTCGGCGATCTCATCCTTCAGCAGAATCAAACAGCATCGCATAAGCGTTAATCTGTTACCGTGCTCCAGTTGTGTGAAACGATGCAGGGCGAGTTCGACGTATTCCGCCGCCGTCAATCGCACAGACTGCTTCTCATCTATACATATATCGGAAACGTACGACAGTACTTGATTTATTAGCGTCTCGCGCTTAGAAAATGCCAATATCAAGGAATTTTTCACGCGATTTATCATTTTCGTTTTCGTGACAACCATTTTTGCCTCATCGTTCAATTCCTCTATTATCTCGTCAAATTCTAGTTCGTTAGTCTCTAAATGTGTGCGAGTGTGTCTTATAGTTCTCAGTATAAACGTTACTATTTCATCGAGGAGTAACTGGTGACAATTGTTCCTCATCGACGTCAAATACTTGAGAATAAATTCTAGTAAGGGGACGCAATACGACAGACTTTTTAAAAATTCGATACCTTGCTCGGTACAAGTTGAGTTGAGAATATTGCGAATCGTTTCTCGCTCGAAATCACCAAGTTTCAATTTACTTACGATCGACGATTTAAGATGTACCGCGTGTAGCTGTCCCCAATATCCAACGAACTGAAAAAATCCCGGTTGACTTTTCTGCGACGACACTACGCATTCAGTTACTGGCAAATTATATTGGAAAGGTAATGTATCTGTGAAACAAGAGTGTGATTCCCGTAGAAACAATGTTTCCAAGACGTAGCACGGTTGAGCAGCTTTTTTATACCGGTCCATATTATTCCACGCTTCTAATACGCCCAAGTATCGACTTTCTCCAAAATGATCGGTCCAACGGACCTTGCCGTAGTCTTCCGTCGCCTCGTTAGAAGGATGTATATTGCGAGTATCGTGAACGTACTTTTCCCTTAGATATCCACAAGTTAATAAGCAACCGTGCAACATGTTAACGTCACGGCTTGAAAGAATTTTCTTCCTGATCGCATCCATCGTCGAGTCGATGCCGTTGAAAGGCGTGAGAGCCGTGTACGCTTTCGCAGCCAATTGTCTGACGTGTATCATCGGATTACCGAGGAAAACGAGCAACAGACTTTTGACCTTCGCCGTGAATGTCCTGGCAGGATAATCGACGAGATCGCAACCGCTCGTCGATAATTTCGACAGCACTACGAGCGTGTGCACGATGCTAGAGTAGGAACGTAACGCCGCATTCAAAGTCCCGCGTATCCTCGAGACGTCTCGGAGTTGTGTCCACATGCGACTCGTCAACGTCGGATAATGCGTGACGAAGTGATTGATGGAGTAACCGTCGCCGAGATCGAACTCTCCATCGACTTTCCTGGCACACTGACCCACCAATCTCGGCACTATCGCGCCGTACAACTGCAAACTCGCATTCCTGCACAATTGCATTTTATGTGATAAACTTTTGAAAAATACCTGAAATATAACGGACAAAATAACAATTAAATACCTCACGATCCAAATGTCGGATTCCATGTACTCGAAACAAATTAAACAAATGTCCTCCATGTACGGAACTAATTGCGCGTGTATCTCCTTGTCGGCTACTAACGCACGCAGAAAGTGCAGGCGTTTCGCCCATGGTGAGTCTGCTCCGGCTTCCACACTTGTAGCAGCCGCCACCGAGTTTTCCAACAAGCGCAATAACGTCTGTACTGCAAGATGCACTGTAGGCCGATCCCTCCGATTGTCGCTCACGACTAATCTATGAAACATGATTGACAATCCAGCGCCTCGTCGTGTCAAGTGCAACGATTTTCCCGTATCCTCCTCTAACAAACACATCAGATATGTTTTCGGTAACTCGGAGTACTCCTTTTTGTTATACAAACACCTAAAACAATTTTTCATTACAAAAGATGGTTATCATTACATCAATCTATTTCACATACTTGTATTAAGCACAATTATATATATATATATATATATATATATATATATTGTAATTACCTGGATAAATTCGCGATCGCTACGCCGGCGCACTCCACTACGCCTTTATGCCGACATTTCAATAATACCGTAACGATAATATCCATGGAACATTTGACTTGTGTACTTGACTGCATTGATATCCCAATTTCGCTGGCGATCTCGCATGATATCTATGTAAAAGATGTATGCGTTTAATCAATTATAACAATTATAAGTGCACACATATTATACCTTTAAGGACATCCAAATACACGAGATGAGTACTTGATGTGCCGACGATAATTGCAATTCGTCGTAATCAAAATCCTCTATTTCGCTGGTCTTAATCTTTTCATCGATAGCCAATCCCATCTCCGCAAACGAGGACGAATAAACTAAACAGAAAATTTTACAGGAATAATAAATGGACCACACACCATTGTATAATCTTATTCGTCAATCAAAACTTTTAATAATTACAAGTTGCCAATAAATTATCATTGAATCCTAATATTAAAAAATTAACATTTTTTGTATTTCACGATGGTAGAATAGCTGTAAGACATATTTTGTTTATGTTATTCATAGATATTAATACCTGTATTAGATGCTTTCGTAGAGAACGCAGATAAGAAGAAATCGACGGCGTCCTTCAAAAGATTCAGTATCTCCTCCGTAAATTGCGGTGCTAAAATCCAATTCTCTGGGCCATCGCGAAAAGCAACTGCCAGTAAAGCAGTCAACGCGCCATAAAAAGGTCTATTCTGAACAATAGCTTTTAAAATGTCAGTTTTCATCTGTGTTAATTGGCACTTAGCTTCGTCTAATAGAAATTCTGAGTAACTCGAGTAAGTGAGGATATTATTATATTCATTGTCGGAAAATATTGCAGCTGTGTCCTTAGAGACCTCCTTCAGGGGCAACCAGCGTGCCATTATTTTTATCAGAGTTGCTCCACTCTCAATTTTGTAAAATTTGGAAGAATTGCAATGCTCCCACGCACAATTGTAGAGTATCTAAAATCAGAATTTTTCTATTAACTTAACAATATATTATACGGCTTTAAAATAAGACATTTTCTGTCATTCAAGGATCCGTAATCTTTATTCGACTTTAAACTAACTCTTCTCCGAAAAATATAACATGAATAGATTTCAATATATACATATAAAAGAAAAATTGTAATAAATTTCTGTAAACTTTGTTAGATAAGAACAAGTGACGACCTCTTATTCTACAGGAAATTTTACTTAATTATTGTAAAAGGAACTTACTTAAAACTTAATTAATATCTTAATTATTAAGTTTTAAGTAAGTTCTTATAAAATATTAAGAATGTAAAAGTTAGAGAAAAGAAAAGATTTAATGATAATTTCATCATGGAAAATCTGCATTGGCCAAAGAATATACCCCTTCAATTTTTTAGCTCTTTCTTTCAGCTCTTGTATATACGCAAATAAGCAACATATTTAAAGACATAAAAATGTAATAAAATTGTACGTTTAACAAACTTCTCTTACGCGTTTTTCCATAATCGACAAAGCATCCTTTTCAAAATATTGTAGAATGAGGGTGGCAGCTAGTTGTCTAACATCAAGAGCAGAATCTAGCACGAGTCTCAATAACAGAAACAAAGACTCTTTATTAGTAAATCTCCAACGATCAGTGATGTATTTGTCGATCTGTTGAACGCATTCTTTATAGCTCTTATTTGTGTAAGAGAGTAAGGTCCCGTATAAGTTTAAAGCAAGGATTTTGCGTTGATAACACGAGCCAATTTCGAAACAATCGAAAAAGTATTCGTGTAGCCACTCCATCAACTCGAAGATTGATCGCGCACAATGAGTTTTCAAACTAATCACTTTCAAGATATTGGAGCACAATATCTTGAAATATTTTATTATCCCTTCTCTCATAAGAATCGTTGCGGTATTGGCGTTAAACCACAGAAATTGTTTTATCTGAAGAAATGGGTCCGCTTTGTTAACGTCGATCAGCTCTACGGCACGATAACAGAGCACAGCGAAAGTATTCAATCGTATAATTTCCTCTTTGTCATTTAAATGCTGATCGATTTCGTACGTCTGTGGCAGCTCTACGTGTAATTTTGCGGCCATTCTTTGCAGGTGAGAACGAAAGAAGTATCCTTGCGAGTCACCGCACAATTCCCATAAAAACGGTAGGATATTGCTATACATTTCAATGGTCGGTTCGAGCCAGTATTTAAACAAGGACTGAAGAGCGTTGTGATCCTCGCTGTAAGAAGATTGGAAATTATATCGTACAATATGGTAAATTGTTCTTCTTCGCACTAAAGAAAATCTTCAATTAAAACTGAACTGAAGCCTAGATTTCGTGAGAAACAAAGGGGGAGTAAGTGGAAGGAAGAGATCGTCAGGAACTTACTGCTCTCCCGATTCCCAGCGACCAATTAGGTATTCCATAACTTCCCCGAACACTTTCTTCCATTCAGCCTCGCTTAGTCTCCTCAAAATCACCAAATAAAGCTTCGTACCGGCACAACGCAAAGAATTTCTCGTTAAGCTAATGCATAAGTCAAAGGAGAAACAGCTCATAGCGTGGATTCCCATGTTCCATACTTGACAAATTTCCGTCAGAATAACGTATTTTGTTTCGTTTTGCCACGACATGTCTTCAAGACACATACGATATATATAATCTACAAATGTTTCCTTATATTTTTGCAACATTATCCGGAGATACGTGTTAAAAATTTCTGCGTTCTGCTTGCATAAATTATTGAGCGCGTTGGACCAATTGGAGAATATGATAGCTTCCAGCTTGCGTTCTAAAATACAATCGTTTTGGTCCCAGAAGCGCGCGTCGGATGTATTCTTCAATCTCTTCAACCACGCAGACAATACTTTGTACGCAAAGTAAGAGTATCTTGTATATTTCATACAATTTCTATATATTACGTTAAACGTGATTAAGAGAGCGTCGTATTCGGAGCACGTCGTATTCTCGAGAACATCTCTCCGATTCGCCTGCAGATATCCATAGGCGTTGAGTAACTTGAACAGCTCAAGATCGGAAACGACGTATTGCTTCTCAAGGAAAGACAAGTTGCGCGAGTCCAGTCTTTGGAAACCAATTACGATGTCTTTGAAAGAGCGCGAGTCGCATTGCGTGGGGAGCAAAACGTAAAACGCGTGGCATGCTAAAAGGATACGCTCATTCCCCAATTCGGAATTGTTACTCATTATCTCTATAATGTGCGCTAGAATAGTCTTCCATTCTTTCATACTTTCGTCCGTAGAATGGTGCAAAGGCGTACTTATCAATTTCTGAAAAAAGGAAACAGGCCACTGTGGTTAAACCGTAGTGAAATGTTTTATCATTTTATAAATAGCGAAGAAAATACCAACTCGAAAGATCAGTATATCGTTTTGACAATCCTGCAATTCGTTGAACACGTCGAGTGATTTCATTCTTGTTTTTTGCACAGAGTGCAGTATTTGAAGGCAGAGTTATTGGCAATTTAATTTACAAAACTTCTATCGCATAATATATCGGATAATATTAAAATTATATTTTTAGTTGCGCAAGTTTTTATTTGCCATTCGAAAACCGAGAACCGCTTGGCTCTTGTTATCAAACTGCTTCGGCAAATCAGGCCTTTCGGAACTTTGCATCCCACTGTCAAGACAAGCTCTGTAAGTAACAGAAAGTAATCACATTTCCGTACAACAGACTTGATTGCACGAGAAAGGAAGAAGGGAAAAAGGCGGTACGTAAAGGTAATCAAATAATGTTGTAATTAAAAACTGCAAAATAAGCTACGCAACATTTTGAAACCTCTTACAAAAAATATTATTAGTTCAAGTATAGTGTAAAAGCCTGTGATCGAAATAACTACTAGATTAGTTTAGTATAATCAAGATTCCGGAGCGTAGAAATTTGAGTGAGAGAAAGAGAGAGAGAGAGAGAGAGAGAAAACGAACGGCTTGAAAGCTTTTGTAAAATACCGGTTAAGGATAATAGAATGTTGCAATAAAACCATGTCTTGTGTTATTTTTAAGCATCTTGTTTATTGTAATTCAACAGATAAAAACAACAATGTAAACTTCAAAAACATTCGAATGAATAATGTATGAAATTAATTGTTTAAGAGTTAACATTTAATTGTTTAAGAGTTAACATCATGAATTGCTAATATGCTATGATTGTAATACAATCGATAGATTAGTGTCTTATATTTCCTTCGGCTCTTCAGGAACATACCCCCCCTTCTCTATTTGCTCTTTGAACTTCAAGTAATCTCGCTTACGATCAAAATGTTTCACCTGTGCAACAGTGGCATAGAAGACTGGTTAGACAATAATAAAAAAAAGGTTCTATCTACGTTAACTCACATAGTAAAAACACATGGTGAATATTAAACGAACTTGTTTGAAAATGTCGTCCAAGACGAGATTTACTGCCTGTAATGCTTACCCATTGAGACGGGCAGAACTTTTCATATTGTTTCCTAAATTCCTTACATTCTGCTTGAGATTTGCCTTCGTCGAGACATTGCCAATATTCATCCCTGCGACTCCAACAATTCAAACGATCCTCTTTGTTTGGGAAAGACATTCTGCGAGGACATAAAACAAATCACTCAACATGTATATATTTATAATTATTGTAAAATATTTCCTTTCCAAGAATATCCATCCGTTTCTCATAGTGCTTATAACTGTATTCTTGTGTCTATGATATGAATGAAGAGAATATAAATTTGAAGCTATTTAAATATGACATCTTCATGTATACAAATTGAACTAATATGGGATTAATAATTGTAAAATAATATTTGTACGAGATAATAGATAATATTCCACCAATCTAATTATTGCCGAGCAATTAGATGTTTCCTACAACTGTAACAATCGTACAGCTAAATACAAGAGCAATATAAAATTCAACACACTTACCTATAATATTTATTTATTTTTAACTAGGGCGATTCTATCAAAAATTCACTCACTCACTTTTCAATGATTAAAGCTCGATAAAATATACAAAACTATAAATTTAAAATAAAATACAACGGGAAGTGACCAACTATTCAATTATTGCACAAGATTTGTCTCCAAGCAAAATTGTAACAGTGTAAAAATCTTTTGTAGGGTACATATTTTTCAATAATATTACTTTCTTATCTGATTAATTTTATACAGATTAATGTCTGATCAAGAGAGAGAGAGACAGATATGTATAATGTAGTAATTACAATTGACAAAAGTGAAATGTGCAGAAATATTCTAATACACCTCAAAATTAACGCGCTAAGAATATGAATTATTAGAAATTAACATTTCGATATTTTAAAATGAAATAATGCATCAAGTGCAGTAGTGCACATGAGCCAAAACTTGGAAATTTACAAAATAAACACAGCATACATTCCGGAAAAGAGGTCACATATTCCCGCTACCGTCACTCACTAAGCAGCTCTATTAAAGTTTAAGTTTATTTTTGATTGCGCAAAAATAGATTTTCGAAAAGTGACTTGCACGATCCACAATTATATAACGACAACCTCGGGAATGGAAATACAAGCTCAATCGATAGAAAAGAAATATTACAAGTACAAATCGTCATTGCAATTATAAACAATAATATAAAGAAGAAACTTATTTCTTCTTTGCTTTAAAACATAAACTCCGAGTTTGCTCTCAAGTATGATTATGTAACATCGAGAGATTTCATCAGGATGGCAATGTGTCACGAGCAGAATTTTTCTTGAAAAAAATCAAAATGACAATTTGAATAGGACGTTTTTACCGAGCTCGTGAGTGTCTCGGTAACCTGCGACAGGTGGAATTTGAACTAACCTGAACGTGGCTGTATCGGACGACGTGGGGGACGGTCACGACCGGCTATCTCGTATTATCTGTTGCGCAGAACAATCATTTAGCCCAGTTTCCCCGACTGAAATAAAAGTGCTTGATACCCTCGTATTGTATGCGATTCCTAATTGCAGAGCAAAAAATTATTTGTCATTCATCAGGCTGGGTCTCGCGCGTTTCACGCGACCTAACCTGCAAACTTATATATCGTGCTTTCGTAAATTTCGTCTCATGCTCCACTTGCTTTCGAGAGAATTAGCAATGCAACGCAATGTCTCTGACAATCGTTTGACAGTGCATCCTAACAATCATATATACGACTTTGGGGAATCAAATTGAAATAATATGCATAAGGAAGGAGTTAATGGGCTTGTTTTCTGTTCCTGCACTGGTGAACTAGTGCAGTAAGCTAGAATGAGAAAAAATATACTTGTCTTACTCCAATTTATTGCACTAGTTCACCAGTGCAGGAACAGAAAACAAGCTCCAATAATCTGCTCCTTTCTAGCTGCACTTTCCACCTTCTACACTTTTGCGTCCGTTCGATCCATGGACGTAAAGCCTATCACACAATGCCAGGCAACAGGCAATAGGAATAGAGAATAGAATTTTTGACGCGTTGGATTCGTCAGAAATTTTCTACCAACCAATCCAACGCGTCAGAAATTCTATTCCCTGTTCCTGTTGCCTGTTGCCTGGCATTGTGTGATAGGCTTCAGAATATATGGACCATGGACGTAAGAATATATGGACGGAGTGTAAGTTAGCGGGGGCCGAGCCAGAGCAGTGAGGGGAAAAGTAGTCATCACATATGGCGGCGACGCTACCACGAGGCAGTGCTGTCCGAGCGACCGTGTCTGTGCGCACACGGACACAGTCGCTCGCTTGTGTCGTCATCCCCTCCCTATGCGACCGTGCGACCATAGGCCGCTCACGGACAGCACTGCCACGAGGCGTCCTT